ATAGCGTTTCTTTCCCAGTTACCTAACACGAGGAGGAGGAGGAGGCGGCAGGCCGAGCGAGCGAGCGAGCGAGCAAGACCAGAAAAAAACAGAAGAAAAAGAAAGGAAAAAAGGGATCGCTGGTTCAGGCCACGAGTCCTGCCTGACTCCTGCCTCCTCCTCCTTGTCCTCCTCCGTCGGCGCCGTTGTCCGTCGTCACCGAATACAGCACAGCACACGGCAATAGGTACCGTGGTATGAATCCCTCCCTGCGATAGGAACAAACCCCGCAGCCGCTGGCCGACGCCACAAATGTACCTACATTCATGTACTCTACCTACCAGAGGTATAATACCGTTATTTATAGCCTTACAGGACCCCAACGTTGGTTTTTTCCCTCTTTCCCTTTCCTCTCTTTTCTTTCAATGACGGTTGTTGTTGTTACCTGTTGCTGTTGTTATTATTACCGTATTGTCGTAGCGGCACCATCCGCACTCGCTTCCGGCCAGGACTCGACAGTCGACTCCTCGCCGGCGGAGCATCCGAGATTTATGGTTGGGGACACCTAAAGTAGGAGTGAAAAAATGCCCAACTCCACCCCCCGGTTTAACTCAACCACAACACCCAGTAAAATTAAAAGAGCTCTATAGCATGATAGAGAAAGGGTTAAGTAGGTCGCTATAGAAACTAAATAAAAATAAAGGTGTGGTAAATTAATTTAAGCGGGTTGAAAAAAACTGATTTGTGTGGGGAGGATTTTGGAATGTCGCAAATAATAGCATGCACTAAGACTCTAGCGCACTCTTAATTTCCTAAAGCGATAGTACGAGTGACAGATGATGAGCCTTAAGCTCGAGCCTTGGCGCCGATTGATCATTGCTCACCCCGACTGAGCTCGCGCATGAGTGCTATTCGACTTGGACCTCCTCAGAGCACACGCAAATAGGTCAAAAATGGGGCCATATGGTCCAAAAATCTTTACAATTACGAAAATTACTTGCTCTGTATTCGAAAAATTGCCTGCGGCGCATTTCTTGACCCTCATTTTGGCGTAGACACACTTAGTCACTCGTGATTTGTCAGCCAAATGAATGTCGCAATTCACTCCGGTTTTAGGCGTCCCCAACCATATGTACGGTAGAGTACTCTACCTATATGTAGGGCAGTCGCTGATCATGATATCACATCACTTCTCACCCACCGGGCCACCCACCAGCCCACCCACTAGCCCACCGTAGACGGCGGTTGAGGTTGAGGTCCAACTTCCGAAACTTCTTTACGCACGCACACACCTCCCGACCGGTAGGCCTCCGGCTATATCCGTGGCGTGAAACGCAGAACGGAGTACGGAGAACGCAGATGCATAACCCATAACCCCCGTTCCCCATTAAAAAAACAGTGGAATAATAACTAACTAAGAGGTATGAATGTGCAATTCGTGCGGTTTTGCACCTGGTGGAGCTCGTATCGCGGAGGTTGAGGGTGTTTACTTACCCCGAGATTCTGGAGGTGGGCGTGGGCGTGTGCGTGCGGCGTGCGGTAGGTGTGCGGCGTGTACGACACCAGGCATCGGGCATCGGGCAGCGGGCAGCAGGCAGCGGGTAGCAGGCTCGGTTGTCGGTTACCTACCGTACTCTACTCTACCGTACTTGACGACTCACTTACTTGCCTGGTGCCTGGTCTCGCCTGTTCTCCCGGTCTCCCATGGACGAGGGAGGGGGGAGGGAGACGAACTTAGAGTTAAGGGTTGGGGGTAGTCGGCAGGAGGTCATCATGAATAGAGTATCTTTGTCAGACTGGGCGGGGGCCGCGGGGCCCCAGAGGACCTGACAATATCGTAATCTCAACTTACTCATGTCCTTGAATACGTACATAACTTTATCCTCCTCCCGTCGATAGGGCTGGCCGGCAGGCAGGCAGGCAGGCTGGCTAGATGTCCGGATGACTGGCTACTTGGCTGGCTGGCTCACTGGCTACCTGGCTGGCTCTCTGGATAGCTCTCTGGCTGTATGGCTGGCTGGCTGGCTCGCTCGCCCGGCCGGGCATGCACCCATATGCATAGGTAAAATATATTGTCATTTATCTGGCTGGTGGTACCGGTAAATCAACCGTAAATTGTGCTATGTATGCATATGCGGTATGTGGTGGGCACTGGGAGCCTGGAAGCCTGAGGGTTAAACTGATGCTGCCCCGAAATATTTCCATCTCACTGCATGGGCCACGGCTACTTTCTCTGGTACCTATCATACTATGGGTGAGCACTGAGCAGGAAGGTACCTACCTAACCTACCAACCGGCATGTAGAGTACGGTAGCAGCCGTTCCTAACCACAGGTATCTCTCTCCTCATTCCGCATTCCGCATTCCGTATTCCGAGCCCGTCATTTGATTGGCACGAAGCGATCAAGAACCAAGATTGGGTGGGGGCACTATACATGTGGTCGTGGATAGATCCGAGAACACAGAACACACAACACCATTTCAATTGCAGGGGGCCCCGCAAATCTACAGTCATACAGTCAGTCAAAGGCAGATGGGTTGGTCAGTCACACAGACAGCATCTAATCTATTCTGCCCGCGAGTGCTCCGGAGTCTATGTATGCTTACCTGGCTGGACGGCTGGCTAGCTGGCTGGTCGACTGGCTGGCTGACTGGATGGCTGGCTGGCCGGTTGGCCGGTTGGCTGGCTGGCTCGCCGTGGGCCATTTGGCATGCCACGATGGCGGAGGGAGTAGGCCGATGGGCTTCAAATTTCAAGGTATGTGTGTGCCCCGCGTGATCTCGCCATGACAGCGGCGGGGGGCATCACATATAGGCATCCGGCGCTGTCAGTGGCCTACACGACCTCAGTCACATGGAGGCGGAAGTGTACTGGGTATCGTTAGTCGGTTCAACGTTGGGGGGATTTTGAGTTGACTTGACTCGTGCTCATCCAGGGCCAGTCCCTGCGCCTCGACACGGAACCTACCTGTGTCTACGTCTACCTTACATCTATTTCTATGTCTATTTCTATGTCTAAGTACTCTAAAGCATAACTATACGTTGGAGTGGACGTGGGCCGTGGCAACAATGGACCGACCGACCCCATTCCCTTCTTTCCACGCGCCGACGCCGACGCCGCCGCAATCCAGGCGTCGTATATCGGCCCTCTATGATGCATGTAGATTACCAAGTATCCAGGTGGTTGCGTAACTTGCGTTCGCAGGTGCATTTTTCGGGTGAACCCTATATGTATACGTACGGCCCCGGCCCCCTCTGCCTACCACCTGCCATAGACTTTTGGCCACTCTTTCTCTCGGAGTCTGAGTCTCTGAGGTTCCCCCCGAGGCCCTACGCTAGCTGTAGCTTTAGTTAGGCTCCACAGGTTCATCTGTTCGGGCGCCGGCTAAGTGCTTGCTTCGTTGGGGAGGAGGAAAGGGCCATGGATGTACGATGAGAAGAGAGAGCGGGCCCCTACTATGAATCTGTGATGCGCATCATGATCCCAAGTAGTGACTCCGCCATTCGCACTGCCAACCGCCTGCTATTGCCACCACACGTTGGCAGCAGCGTTGAACAGCAGCAGCAGAAGCAGGCAGCAGGGCCGCAGCATCGTTGAGGGGGGGGGGGAGGGTTTGTGGCCAGAAGTGTGGATTAGGGCCCAGCCGGCCAATCGGAGCGTTGCAGCCTGCAATCTCGCACTTTACGCTGTACGGTTAGGCTGGTTTCGGTCGCTCGGCTTCTTCCAGAATTTGATTGATGGGACAGGGCAGTGGCAGCGATCACTTTCAGTTGCGAAAGCGAGCGAGAAATAGAGAGAGAGAAGTCGTATGTATGTAGGCGGCAGACTGGCTAGACGGACTGCCAGACGGACAACCAGCCAGGTAGAAATACTTTACCGCATCCCGCTCCCTCGCGCCGTAGCACATCGCTACCACAACCATCATCATCACCACCACCACCACCACCACGCACCCAGTGGTGCCGACTGCCTATCCTCCTACCTCCTCCTCCTCCTGCTCTTCCTACTCCTCTTCTTCCTACTCCTCCTCCTCCTCCTCCCCCTCCCCCTCCTCCTCCTCCTCCTCCTTCTTCTCCTTCTGCCTCCTCTTCCCCCGCCTCCCCCCCAGTTCCCCCATCTACCAACTTACACGCTGGTAGATAGGCAGGCATCGTCGCCTCCAGCCCAGCGCTCAACCACTATTACTACTAACACTGCCACCTCCAACCAACATCACCACCACTACCACTACCACTCTAACCACCACTACCACTCTAACCACCACCACCACCGCCAGAAATTTCCCTCTCTCATATCCCTTCGTCCGTTCCTCAGCTAAACACCGACATCGTCGCTCATTCGTTCCGACAACTTTTCTTGACGCTCTTTTCCTCCTCATCGGCCATCCCCCTTCTTAGCCCCCCTAACATTAGGAGGCCCATACACCCCCAGTGTTGTAGCACGGCACCCGTTAGCTGTTAGTGTAGCTGGTTCAGCTCTTCTTCGACCGTCCGATCGATCTCGTCGAATCGCTTACTTCTCGTACACCCCCCCCATTGGGGCTCGAACATCTGTTCTGTTCGCCTGCAACTGCCGCTCCGCGGGCCGAGACACTCACAGCCTCCCCTCTCCTGCGCGTAGAATTCGGACGGGAGCTCGATCTTCCCCCCTCCCCCCCAGCGTGTAGCAAGACTCCACCTACCACCTTCCACCTTCCATCTTCCACTCGGGTTGAGACCATTCGAGTAAAGAATTTTTTCATTACAATAATAAACAAAAGCTGCGGGATGAATCCAACTCTCGAGCGCGACAGCGTGAGCAACCACCCCCGGCCGGAAAAGCGACCACACAGCCCAAGCGGCGACGAGCCCGGCGCTACCTCCAGCAGATTGAAGATCATGGGCGACCCAGTAGGACGTGACGACCGAGACCGCGATCGCGACCGCGACAGTTATTACCCCGCGATGTATACGGCCCATTACGCACCACACCCGCCCATGATTGTGAGCAACCTTCATCCCTACGACAACAATCCCAATTCGATGAATTCCCAGTCCCAACCGAACGGTGGTCCGCCGCAAAGTCACTACCATCCGTACGGCTCGAACTCGGCTTCCCCCGTGCCGCACACCCAGATGGCCTTGCCTCAGGACAGTACTTCTGGGGGAATGCAAACTTTACCGGGTGGACAGACAAAAAGACCCTACCGGCAAAGGCGGAAGGATCCATCATGCGATGCATGTAGGGAACGGAAAGTCAAGGTTGGCATTTGTCCCTGAAACTCTATTTTTTCTTCGAGTTTTTCGAGTTTTTACTTCGTGGGGTCTGACAGCGAGGTAGTGCGACGCGACTGAGACGGCATCGTGCAACGAGTGCAAGTCCCGTGGGGTCAAGTGCCAATTTACGAAAGAGACCAATCGACGAATGTCCTCCATCAAGTACGCAGAGCCCTGTCGCGCTCCCTCCCTTCCCCCCGATGCCTGCGGCTCGTAGCTTACCGGTGATTTTTTTCCTTTTCCATCAGACAAGTGCAGGATCTCGAAAAACAGGTTTCTGCTTTCAAGAGCCGGATTCGGGAGCTTGAGGGCCAGTTGTACACGGTGGGCGCTGTGGGAATCAATGGCGCGGCTCGGGAGACTCTGTCGATCAATTTCCCGGAGATCGGGTCCATGCCACAGAGAAGACCTCAACCACCGCCGGCGGAGCCAGGTATTTCAACAGTTCGGAACCACATTCGGGATTACTGCAGAGGAGTGTTCAAGCCACCTCCTCCCTATCGACAGGCCGGCCCAAAGAAGCAAGAGTCGCCGAAAAGTGTCGTGTCGCCGAAAAGTGTCGCGTCGCAACACCTACCGCCTAATCACATTGGCGAAATCCTGATCAAGCATTATTACGAAACAGTACACTCGATAATACCCATATTGCATTGGCCTACGTTTGCTGGGGGATATGATGAAGTCAAGATGAAGAAAGATATCACGGCGGTGTCTCCGGCGACAGCATCGGTTCTGTTTGCTGTCTTGGCGTTGGGAGCGGTGTATACGACGGACCCGGAGGTCAGGAAGCTGTATCCCGACAGCGGCAAGGGCTTCATCGAGCAGTCACGACAACTCGTTGATCTTTTTAATGACGAGTTCACGATTGATCACGCACGAGCGGCGCTGCTGACCAGCATCTACCTCACCGAGCTTAATTGTAAGTCGGCAGCATGGACGTGGCTGGGGTCCACGGTGCGAATTGCACAGGATATCGGTCTGCATCGAGAGAGCGGCCCGTGGCCGGTTGTGGAAGGAGAGATGAGACGCCGGGTTTGGTGGGGAATCTACGCTTGGGACCGGTAATAAAAAACAATCCCTGACTCGCCTCTCCGTCATCCCAGAATCTACGTTTTTGCCAGATATTTTGCCAGACACTTTTTTGTTTGCATGCAGGCTGACTGACTCGGGGTTGTGTTTACAGCTTGCTCTCCGTGGAACTTGGCCGTGTGCTCCTGATTGAGGACCGAGATTGCGACATTAGCCTGCCATGTGCGCTAGACGATCATTTCATCTTCGACTCGAACGTCACAAGCAACGGCAACGGCCTGAACAGTCATAACCAGGCTGGCTCGCATTTCCTGCTGACTACCATTCACGTGGTGCGCATGATTAGCGAGTTGTTGCGGACATTACAATCAACCATCATATCACCCCAGGCGCTTATCGCATTCGATTCGCATTTTGGATCGTGTCAAACCGTTTTCCCGGCAAATTGCCAAATCTTCCATCCACAGCCGCTGGAGCCTCGGCACTTGTCGCCCATCCTCCAGTTACAGAACTGTCGAATCGTGCTGCATCGACACAACATGTCGACATATTGCCCCCCTGAGGTTCGGGCCGCGGCAGTGCAGTCATGCGTGCAGGTCGCGAAGGAGACGGTGCAGCTTTTGATTCGCGTACGGAAATATCAGCCGCCCAGCCCAACCACCTGGTCGGATGCGGTCGCATCGGCAGCCACCACGATGGTTTGCACGCACATCTGGCGTTGCATGCTCTTCCTCTGCTTTAGCGCCAATTATGAAGAGGCCCTCACGTGCGCACAGATCTCTGCTGCCGTGGGAGGTTTCCGAGAGGTCAACATCGCTTGCGGGAGGTTCCTGTACGGGTTTCTTCGGCAGTTGGCAAACAAGGTCGCCCAGGGCAGTGATCTGATGAAGGATGAGATGATCATTGCCATGGTCTCCGGAGATGTCCAGGGCAGCTCCGAATCCGCGTGGATCTGGGACGAGAGCGAGACGGGAATGGATTCCAACGGCAAAGCGTCCGCATCTTCCTCGAATGGAAATGAAACGGCTCAATCTGTTGCCGAGAATCCCGTGACGCTCTCGGAGCAAGAGAAGCGGGAGTGGTGTGGCTGGGACCGCATCGAATTTATCATCCGACAGTTGCAGAGGGAGAAGACACAGCGGGATTACCAACAGCGCCCGCTTCATCCTCCACTGGTCTGGGAGCCGCAGATGGACCGGAACCACCGTTTCGTCGACGATATCGATCAAAATCACTGTTTCGTCGACGATGTCGACCAAAACCACCGTCTCGTCGTCGACCGAGCCGATCGAGACGTCATGCCCCCGGCACCGCCTGCTAATAATCCGAGCGGAAGCGCTAGGATTTCTATTGCCAACATCATGTAGAATCTTCGGCGTGTTGATTTTTCTTTTCTTTTCTTTTTGTTTCGATTGGCCTATATTGTCTCCATGTTTCGTGTGCGGCTACGAGAGGTGGGAATTTAAGGAATCAAACGGGGTGGTTTGCGTTGCGGCTTTTCAGTTTTTTTTGTTTTGTTTTTTTGCTTTTATACATTTATATTTCCTCTGGGACCGGTTTGGATGTTGGGTTGGATTCCATGGTGTTTTTTGTATTTCCCTCGTTGTATCGCGTCCTCGATGTCGGCTGCTGGTGAAAGGTTCGTTACTTCTTCGTTTCTTCAGTTCTTTCCCGTTCAACCGCAATCTGGCTGGGGGTGGGGCCCTATTCTACGAGTACAGACTTTTTTTCTTTCTTCTGGTTTTAGGCAAGGTTATATACGTGGATATCTGAAGTGATCCCGCCCATGTGGGTATGTTTTTTCTTTTTTCTTTTTCTTTTTTGCCTTTACATACGGGGAGTTTGCGGGCATTGCGCAGTACAGTTGGCTTCGGTTTCGGTTTATAAATTCCACGCAGGTTCTCTTTCGTACGTACGCATGGATTTGCTGTTCGGACGTGGTCTGCGTGAGAAGTACATAACGAACCGGTGGGCCGTGGCAGTGAATGGCAAAAAATGTTGGCGTCCCCGTCCCCGTCCCCTTCCCCCCCCCCAAGGTGCCGGCTCTCGTCTCGTCTCGTCTTGTCTTCTTACCTTACTCTGCATCGAGCTGGCATCGAGCTGGCATCGAGCTGGGCATTTCATTTTCATGCACGTCTGCTCGCTCTGCTGGCGGTCGGTCGGTCGACGTTGTTGGCATCATCCCGATTGGCCCTCGCTGCCTCTCCTCCAGTGCTCCTCACGACACTCGACACTCGACGCACGTACTCTACATAACTACAAATAGAATATCTACATATGTAAAATCTCGTCTGAGTCTGAGTCTGAGTCTCAGCATTTTTTTCCTTTTTTCATTTCTCCCCCTCCTGGACTCTGGAGTCCTGGGGCCGGCAGTAGCTACCGATCGTTGCGTGTAGTGTTGTAAAATGTCGCCGAAAAGTCGCCGATTCGATGTGGCGGTGGTTGGTGGGTGGTGGGTGGTGGTGGGTGCGGCGGTGCGGCGGCAGTGCGGCGGGTTGAGACATGTCACTGCCACTGGCGGGTGCGGTCGGGATGGGCGGGGGCACAGTGGGTCACTCGCTTAATGCGCAGTTTCGGGTCACAGTGGCTGGCTGGCGGCGATCGTGCGAAATAAACTGAAGATCTCTCTCTCTCTCTCTCTGGCGGCGATCGTCCGCCAGTCCGCCGGTCCGTCTGGTCTTTGGAGTAGAGCAGAGTACCTCTACTAAAGAAAAGCCTGAATTGCTGAAATCGTGCTGAAATCGTGCTGAAATCGTGCTGAAACATGCAAAACTTGAAGAATCGTCTGGTTTGTTCTTGCGCTGTGAAGGCTTTCATTCGGTCTCGGGCCTTTGGGCACCGGAGTGGTGGTGGATGAGGAGGAGGAAGTGGAGGAAGTGGAGGAAGTGGAGGAAGTGGAGGAAGTGGAGGAAGTGGAGGAAGTGGAGGAAGTGGAGGAAGTGGAGGAAGTGGAGGAAGTGGAGGAAGTGGAGGAAGTGGAGGAAGTGGAGGAAGTGGAGGAAGTGGAGGAAGTGGAGGAAGTGGAGGAAGTGGAGGAAGTGGAGGAAGTGGAGGAAGTGGAGGAAGTGGAGGAAGTGGAGGAAGTGGTGGTAATGGTGCTGGTGCTAACAGGGCAAGACACTACGGTAGAAGCAACATCCTCCTCCTCCTCCTCCTTCTCCTCCCCCTCATAAGTATCCCAAAGCCGGAATTGGTGAAGACCGACGTGGTGCTAGGTACTCGACGAAGTTCGTATGGCGGGTGTGTGTATAGTACAGGTACCATACAGTAGCAAAACGTAGGGTGCGATTGATACGGGGCGAATACCACGGTCGTTCGGACACCGACGAACTACCCGATTTTTGTTCAATACGGTACGTATGCCCACTTTTAGAACGTCCAAACAACACGTACCTATTTTCATAAAGACAGCAGCCGTACCGTCTTTCTCACATCACGTATCTATCGAAACGTGATAATCTATCGAAACGTGATACGTGTTTAGTCAACTTCAGTAGCCGTGTAGCAGTGTAGGCACAGCCTGCTACCAAAAAGCCGGACGAACTACCGCTGTTCTTCCTATGCAAAATATTGGACACTGTCCCGAAAATCAGACAACCACCAGCGAACTACCTTATTCCCACGACAACATAGGTAGTGCAGAGAAAATGATGTCATGCTAATCAAGTACCTAGTTCCTAGACTGTTATAAAGCTATGACGACAAGACTCCTACGAAAGAACAGCCGTGCTGAACAGAATGCTCCGGTCACTGAATCCAGTATGCATACGACATACCTAGTAGAAACCCTCCAACTTCAAAAATACGTACTGTGAGCAAGACGTGCTGTACACACGCAAGCAAACATTTACGACATTCGCGTAGTGTAGGAAGTGCTGTAGGCTCATGGAATAAATACTGTAGAGGAAACTACCTATACGGATTGAGCTGAACACGGTAGAGATGCCGAGTCCCGGCGGAATTGAGAAGCGTATCTTTACAATACTGTAGAATTTTTCGATACTAGAGGCCGTCGGTATCAATCGCACCCCACCCCACGTTTTGCTACTGTAGTTTTGTTTTTTGCTCTGATATCCAATGCCTCAACCTCGGAGGTCAGCTTCCTAGACTAATCAACCAACCGGTGACTCTCGCGGCTCGCCTGATGAGGAGGGTGCGGTGCGTGCCGATCAGTTTCGGGTCTCACAGACACACATCGTATCACTCGTATAGCTGAGTGATAACGAGTGCATGAATATAACGGCGAGTGCAATTCCGACCGTAGGTTGCCCTGTAAGCAGCGAGCAAGCTGCCAATCCTTGGTAACTAAGGCTTAGCTCCCATTAATCGTTACTTAATATGGTGCTGTTCTTGCGTGACCTGGAGGAATCCATATAAACCGAGGAGCAAGTACTTACATGTACAAATCACCTGGAGGACTTGTGTACTCTACATACCATGAAGATACATACCTCCGGACACTGGACAGCTACATGCCCCTGCATAGAGCCGACCGCGAGACCAACGCCGGAACACAGTACTCAGTAGTACTCCCTCATTGAAGTATGTAGTGGACATTCGTCTAAACTTACATATTATCCCCAGAGGAGGAGGAAGACGTCAAGGTGTTTCGGACGACGACGAGACTCCGTACGTATGTACTCTACATATGTAGGCTCCTGACGCCAATAGTGTACTACCTATGTACACAACCATCGGTTTCCGCAAACAAACTCTTCGAACTTCGAAGCTACCTAGCTGGGCAGATGTGGACCCGTCAATCAGCCAGCCAGCCAGCCAGCCAGCGGGGTACAGTATGTACAGTACGGTGTTGAATCACATCACAGTTCTGTTAGATTTGGGCAGTACCGGTCACCGCAAGAGCAAGTGCAAATGCAAATGCAAATGCAAGGGCAAGGTAACAGTGGAGCATACGGCCTTCGTGTCCAATGTATACCAGGTAGGTGCGCTGCTTCGCGGACTCGCCAGATGATGTCTCCAAAGTCAACTAGGTATACAATGTAGTTAAGTGCAAGACAGAATTACTGTGACAATTCCTGAAGTCCTAGTACCATAGTAGACGCAAGTACCGAACAAACGCCCGCTATTACCATAGCCGCAGGCACCCATAGGTAGAGTACATATCCAGCCCAGAAACCTCGAGGACCAAGATCTCAGGATCTCACTCAGACTTCGTACAACCACCCCGCACGACACGCTAACCGCCTCAACTGTCCGCGTCCTGTCCGCGCCCTGACGCCAACCACAACACAGTACTCCCACCAATACCCAGCAGCGACCGCCGACACTCCGCAAAGCCAAACAACAACAGCACCATGTCCATCTCCCGCCGCATTTCGATCCGCTGGGTTGCCACCCCACCCCCTCCCCCTCCACCCCACTCCCTCCCAACCCCCGCACCTACAACAGCTAACCCGCCCCACCCTTTAGCTACCCGCCCCCGCCTCCGAGCCCACGAGCACACTAGTCCTAACCTCCCCGGCTCGGCGGTTTATCGACATCCGCCTTACTCCTCCCACGCCCTCCCCCTCTCACCCGCAGTCCCTATACTGGGGCTTCACCGGTCTGTCCTCGAACCCCACACCCACCAGCGGACGATGGACGCACGAAGTCGACTCCCGCGGGGTGTCGGGATTCGACGAGGGCTCTCTCTCGACACTTCCGAATGGGGACGTATTGGAGAACGGGTCGATGGTCGATTTCGACGACGCAGATGCGGGGGCGAAGGCTTACGAAGAGGTTTGGCGGGACGAGGAGTCCGCGACAGTGGTGGTGCTTGAAGAGGTCGATGGAGCCGGCGGTAGGGTCGTGCGCGTCGGCGAGTGGTGTCATGGACTCATTGCGAGGGATAAGGCGGTGCATGTGGAGCGCTGGAGGGATGGGGTGTGTGTCTTCCGGAGTGCCGGGACCCTGGCGAGAGAGATTGTCCCGCCTGATGTGTGGAAACATGAGGAGCTCGCAATGGGAAGGGTCCTGCAGCATGCGGATGTGGTCTGGAAGGTTGTCGAACTGCATTTGTAACCAGCTATTCTATGCTACATACCTGCCCGCCTTTCTGCCCGCCTTTCTGCCCTGCCCGCCTGCCAAGCTACCAAATCATCCCCCTCCCACTAACGATCCCCTTCCCCCTCCTCTCGCGCTCCTCCTGCTCATGCACCCACCCCTCATCCTCGCAGAACTGTTTAACCGCCTCCTCGAACCCGCCCTCGCCCTCCGCAGCGTCGATATATGCCTCCGCCATCTTCGCATCAACACACTTAGTCCGCAGCTGAAAGCGCTTCACGAGCGCCTTGCGATCGCTACCCTCCTCGGCCGCGGGGCTGACCGAGGCGCCACCGTAGTAGCCCGCGGGGATGGTGATGGCTTGTCGCGCTGAGAGGAGGGGGTCGCTGAAGAGTCGGTTGTGCGCGCGGAGCACCGGCAGGGGGACGTTGTAGTGTAATGAGAGGCTGGCCATGCTGTCCGTGGGCCGGACGAAGTGGAGGATGTCTTCTTGTGGCTGCTCTTTGCTTTTCTCCGGTGCAGCGTCGTTCGCTTCAGAAGCAGCGGGAGTAGGTGTGTACCCCGGAACTTCCTCCTCCTCCTCCGACGCCCCCGACGCCAGCGGCGCCGATGCCTCGTACCCCGGCGGTAAGGGACAGTACGGACAGTACTCTGTAAACCTTCGATTCCTCTATTGATCCAGCACTCCGTATCAGCCCAGTCAAACCCCCCCCTCCCCCCTCGCCCCCGTCCACCTCCCCGCACCGCCCAAGAGAGACGAACCTGAATACACCGCCCACAAACCCACCTCCCACAGCAGCTCTGCTGCAGATGCTGACGCAGGGGTGGGAATTTCTCCTCGCCCACCTCCTCCTGCTCCTTCTTTTCCTCTGAGGAGGAGGAGAAATCTAGTATCTGCGCACACGTCGAGCACACCGTTGCGGACGAGGAGGCGTATGACGGCGGTGGGGCGGGCGGTAGGTCGGCCATGTCTGCTATGTTGCGACGATGTTCGAAACAGTGGGTGGGTGAAGGTCGGAGGTCGGAGCTATGTACCAACTAGTAGGTACAGGTAGAGGTAGGTATCTAGAGCTCTCTCTCCAAGCTGAGAGATGGGATATGTACCTAGGATGGGATGGGAGGGATGTGATGGTGCACGTGGGGGCGAGCATACGTCATTTCCATCCTTGTAGATTTTCAATCCGCTGCACTGCCTGCAGAGGCAGCGGCAGCTTCATCATTTTCTCTCGTGCTCTCGTGTCTCGTGAAGTTCAATTCGTAAAATTCAATGCAATGCCATCAATACAACCACAACCACTCACTGCCATCTCTTCCCCCCGCCCACTCCATCCCCGAAATCGCAAAAACCAGATCGCACAAACCAAACCGGTGTAATAGTAATAACACAGCAGCAAGAGCAGCAATAGAGCAGCAATAGAGTAATGGCAGAGTAGTAGGTAGAGTATGATAGTAAGGCGGACCTGTGCGTCGGAGAAATCCCAAACCACCCCCCTCCCCCACCAATCTCCAATCTCCAAAGGCCGGTAGATAAAGCCGTAAAGCCAAATACTCATCAGAAGAAGCGTCGCGAGAATAGAAAAAGAACAAGAAACAAGCATACAACCAAGTTCAAATGCCACCCAGAATTGCAAAGCAAAGCGAAAAAAACATAACGAAAACGAAATACACCGTCAAAATAAACCCAGCAAAGCCAAAGAGAAAGGGAATAAAACAAATGGAAAACCGTGTATGGAAGAAACGACAAAGAAGATTCTCCTGCATCATCAACTATCATTGAATAGAGTGAAAACAAAAGAAGAAAAAAAGGCAAATGGTAGAGACTGTTGAACCCGATTTCCTCCAGCGAGGCAGGAGGTAGCAAATACGTCGATAGTCAATACAAGGACAAATCGCCCTGGAAACGGCAAAAACCTGGCAGCTCATGCATCATCGGCCTTCAGACTCTCTATCGCATTGGCAACTTCCTCGACCGTAGGATCCACCTTCTCCGCTTCGGTTGTAGCTGCAGCAACGGGACTGGCAACGGCATCCAACGGCGCGGCATGGAGAGCCGGCTTTTCGGGACCCGCATCGCCCTGCTCCAGGCTCGCCTTTCTCCGCTCCATCGCGCCAACAACCCACTCCCGCACCTCGGCATCTCCGGGGACAAACACCTTCGGAGCATCGAAATCGGCGCCATTTTCAGCCGCTACTTCCAAGTCCTCGGATTCCTCGGAGATGGTATCGGGCTTCGTGAGGTCCGCGATCCACGCGTGCTGGAGCAGCATCGCATAGCTGGGTCGCAGCTTCGGAATCTTGTGCAGACAACCCCTCACGAAATCTCGAGCCGCAAGTGAGAATCCCTCCTCTGGGAGATCCGGTGGTTCGCCGTCAACGATAGCCTAAAACAATCAGTCAACTGGAAAAAACGAAAGCATTGGACAACAAAACTTACGCTCAACTGACTGAAGATGTTGTTGTAAGTTTCTGGTGGATATGGATAGCAACCCATGGCGCACTCCAGTAAGCTCAGCCCCAGACTCCAGATGTCACTCTGAACACCGTAGGTGCCGGCCGGTCCAGCGCCGCCGAGCTGAGCCTGCGTACCACCACTGGCGATCCGCTCAGGTGCCATGTAACTCTGACAGCCGATATTCGTCTTCGCGATACTCGCAACCAAGTTCCCTGAAACACCGAAATCGCACAGCTTGATATCTCCCCGGGAGTTCATCAGTATGTTGGTCGGCTTCACGTCTCGGTGGATAATGTCGTGGTCCTCCTTCAGAGTCTTCAGCCCCATAATGGTCGCGTACGCGATCTTCCTGAGAACACCCTCCGGAACACCTCCGCGATACAGCTTATCGATCGATCCACCATCCATGTGTTCCATGCAGATGTACACGGCTCCCTCCTGAAAGAAGGCTCCATAGAAGTCGATGATGTATGGCGACCTGCACCGATGCAAAACGTCAAGCTCCATGATGATCTGAGCGAACTTGGCCTCGTCGAGCTCCAGTCGGATCTCTTTCATGGCCATGGTGGTCTCGCTGGGTGTACCGCTGCTGTTGCCGCGCGAGAGCGGTGCGCGCTCTTGCTCCTCCGGCGTCGGGTTGCCGGAAGAGGGCGTCTGAGGCGAGCCGGGTGAGAACATCGCCTCCCTGGACACGCTCCCCCGCCGAGCAAACCCCTTTCGCTTCGGTCGGTGGATGACCTTGTACACGGTGCCGTAGTTTCCCTTTCCCAGCTCCTCCAGCGTCTGAATTTCGTCCAACGATATCCTGAAACTGTTGCCCGATGTGAAGTCGACACCCTGACCGTGGAGAACCGCTTTCCCGGGAAACTTGAGACTTCCAGTTTCCTTGTCGACGAACTGGGCATACTGCTCGAACTTGGATCCAGTGCTGGCGGCAGCGCCGCCTGGGAGCCCGCCCAACGGGCCAGGTGGTGGTAGCTTTCCGGGGTGAGGTCTCCGCGAGCGCAGTCCAGTAGCTGGAGCACCGTTTCCGACCGGGTTGTCCACCTCGCCCATCGGAGTCGGTGGAGGGGCCCCACTACCCGGGAGAGCGGTGGGAGCGTTCATCCGTCGTTGTGCAATTGACTGTCCCTGTCGGCCAGGAAGCGTAGGGGCCGAATTCCAGTTCGAGGGACCGGCCGGGCGACCACCCATAGTCATCCGTCCACCAGCAATCGGCGATCCGCCTCCATTGGGCATCCCTGCGATGACTGGAGACGAGCCCATCCGCGACTTGTGGAATGCCTGCAACCGAGCCTGAAGGTCCGAATGGCCCGACGAGGTGATTGACGAAGCGAAAGGTTGGTTCGGCAGTGGGGCGCCGCGTCCTCCAGCTCGCCGAGCGTCGGCGACGAGGCCGAGTGGTGTCGACGATGATGGCTTGAGGGGTGGGTCGGAGATGGAGCGCAGCGAGGGCACACGCGGCTGAGCCGCTGACGACGAGGGTGTTGGAGAAGGTATCGGGGGTATCGGGGGGATATCAAGCTCATCGTCGGGGCTATCGGTGGGAGTGAGGGGGAATTCTGGGTTTGGCGCCATGGTTGCTGGCGAAGACGCGGCCGCACGAAGGAACACCGGGCGTTCGCCGAGGTCGGCCAGCTTTGCGATTGTGGGTGGATATCGGGGGAAGCACGAAGTGTAGTGAGGGTGAAGAGCAAGCGGTGGGGGATATTATTGTGAGCGAGAAGCAAGTTTAAATTTGGGGGTTTTAGGTTTGGGGGTTTTGGGGAGTTTTTCTTTAGGGGGGGGGGATAAAAGTAGGTGCGGGTGGTGGGGGTTGGGTGGTGGATTGTTAGGTTTTTGGATTCGTGACGTTGGTTGTTGTGGCTTCCCGGTTGTTGTTGTCGCAGCGATGCACAGCGGCCAATGGGTGGGCAGAAGGGAGTGTCGGTAGCAGCAGCAGCGATGGTCGAGCAAGCAGCGAGCAGTAGAGCAACCAGTAGTGCCGCAAGTATTCGGGGATCGCCGTGTGAGATTATCGATGGGGGGGGTGGGGGAAGAGGAAGTCGTGAAGTGTGAGTTGCGGGTGGGAGTTAGAGTACGGAGGGCCCGGGAAGAGGAGGGGCACGCGGACGGGCTGGTGGTTGGAGGTGATGGGTGACCTATCGGGTACTGTCGAGGCTTCTTTCTCTTTCTACGTCTTTCTGTGAGTCTCTCTCTCTGTCTCCGTCTGTCTCTCTCTGTCACTCTCTGTCTCCGTCTCTTTTCTGGGGCGGTCCGATGGGAAGACGGGCGACAGGCAGGCGGGTCTCGGGAGGGGGGGGGGGTGTGGTGGGTGGTGGGTGGTGGGTTGTGGGTGGTGGGTGGCTGTGATAGCGGCGAGGGAAGCAGCACTGTGAATGAACGGCGGATGCGTGGGAGGGCAGGGTGACGATGGGATGGGTGGTATGTATGACGATGACGATGGCGCTCTCTCTCTGTCTGTCTCTCTCTCTCCGTCACTTGTCCCTTGTCGCTGCGGTCTCTGCGAGAGCGCGTCTCTCTCTCTTTATTTATTTTTCCTTCTTCTGGATGGGCGTTGCGGTGCTACTCAGATCCTCTATGACGGAGCGTTGCTTTTGCTTCTTCCCAGGAGTTGGCGGCGGCGTCTGATTGGCCGAAGCGAGGGGGGCGAGATATCGAGTGGGAGGTAGCTAGCGTTGGAGGAATGCTGCTGCGACCTGGATGATCGCTGGAGAATCTGCTGCACTGCGAGGAAATGTGAATGGCTAAGGGATGCGTGGAAACGAAAGAAGACGGAGAAGAAGGAGGAGAGCGGGAACCCCAGAGTCTTTGCTTGTTTTTGGTATGTCTGGACTTGAGTCTGTCTGTCTGGACTTGGGCCTGGGGATTTTGACACGATAGGGTGAACGGCGGGCCTGCCCGCCTGCCCGCCCGCCCGCTTGCTCAGGTATTTGCTTGGCCGAGGCCGAGTTACCTCCCGCCGGCAACGATGTGAATCGTCGAGACTGAATTAGACACCAGTACTTCTGTTTGGTGTGAGTACCTACAATGCACTGTTGAAGCTCGAGTGCTATGTATACACAACACCGTCGAGCCTCGAGTATAACTTCACTGTCGAGCCTATCGCCTACCGACTACCACCACGCAGGAATCTCACTCATCGAAATGCGAGATGAAATGCGAGAGACGAGTGCAGAGCGAGTACAGTATCTCCGCCCATCGGACTCCGCGGACAACGTCGATAATTCACGGTGGCTTGATCGTGATGATCTGCATCCGAGAGACGCACACGGCTGGCATATCCGCAACATCCTGCACGTGACTCGGAATTCGAAATTCACGAAGGCCGAACGATGCGATACATAACCATACTGGAAAGCAGAACAGAGAAGCCCAAACTTTATGTAGAATGGCAGAAGAGCTCATCCACTCGATCACCATCCATCCGCCCGCCCGCACGCCCGCTGTCCGCCCACTCTGCTTTCCGTTGTTTGAAGCGATGATGATATTCGCTGACGATGCCGGGCGATGATGACGATGACGATGTCGCCAGAGCCAGAGCCAGAGCCAGAGCCAGAGCCAGAGCCAACAAACGGACGAACGACAACGACGAAAGAGCAAACAGACAAACAACCCCCCCCCCAAAAAATACGTATGGAGAAAATTAAATATGATCTTCCCCCGGAGCCGGATGTCTGCTTGAGCTCACGGACAATATTCCCATTTCCTGCCCGATTTACAGGTGAAAGTCCCTAAGCCCAAAGGTGGAATGGTTGGAATGGCGCTGTGGCCAATGAACCTGTGGCTTGAGCGATGGACATATGGTAGCTGGCAACAGCGATCACCGCCACTGACCGGTCAAGTATCATATGTATCGGCGGGGGTGGGGTATGGGGGGGTGGAAGGTGGGGGGGCACGGGGGACCCAGGCTGATGCCCGCCGCCGCGCCGCATTCGTGCTGGCGATGATATTTAAGTTGCGACTATGCCCGCGGCAGCTGTATGTACTCACAAGCTACATCCACACATCCACACATCCACACAGGACGATGGCCATTTCCATTTCCATGTTCCTCGGACGACGCAGACGCGGATCGACGTGCATCCATCCATCCATCCATCCACCCATCCATCCACCCATCGCCGATGCTCAGTGCTCATGAGTGCTCACATCTCGGATCCGACACCGGTATCCGCGCAACAAAGGCTCGAATAACCGCCGAGCCAGTCATTTCCGATCGCGAAGGGCCCACAGCAGTCTGTTACTGCTAGTACTCACAATAGGCAGAGAAGCCCTCGGCCGTCCGATCCGATCCGATGGCTGGCCTCTGGCGAGCTCTTGACGGGAGGGGAGATTGCAGAGCTGGCTGCTGGCTCGGATAGCTGACTCCCAACCGCTCCTGCTTATGTAACTTGTAAGTACTGGGCCCTCCCTCACCACCGTCGGCCACCGGGCCCTGGGGGTGTATTATGTACATACCGGTACTGGAGTCCGTGGCCTCGAGCTCCAGCCTCCAGGGCTTTATATATCATACCTATCCCTTGGCTCGTCGGAAAGGACTGGACGTTATGTACTGGTACTTTTACCTTTGGCCCGACGATGCTAGTCTGGTTCTTCGTGCTTGGGAGTCAAGACATCCATCTGTTGCTGTATTCATTGATCTTTTCCTCGGCCGTCCTGAGCCGTGAACCTCTCATACGATACGGCCAACTACATAGGTTTTGCTTCAAGTCTGGAGCACTGTTCTCATATCCATACCCACGAGCCCGCTCGCCGGTCGGTCCTCCACCCCGAAACCAAGCACTCCCTTGAACCCGAAGGTTGTATGTAAGCAAAGGATCTCGCTCGCTCGCCGAGAACACCGTGCCTGGCACCAGCGTCTAAAAACAACCCTCCAATTAGCGCGCCCGCTACTAGTACAGACTCCCGAGCCCAGCGTCCCGACTCCAGAGTCCAGAGTCCAATCCAGAGCCGCTCTTCCAGATTCCAATTCCAATTCCAATTCCAATTCCAATTCCCACCCCGCATCGTCTTCCCCTTCCCCTTCCCCTTCCCCTTCCCCTTCCCCTTCCCCTTCGCACTCCCACTCCTATACATACATGCGGGCTGCGATACATCAAGATTCAACACGTGTTGAGTCGTGACGAGGAAGTATTAAATAACACAATAATAGCATCGCCCGCAAGTTGAAGTCGCAGGTCGCAAGCTGCAACTGCCACCTGCAGGACGACGTAATCCCGCCTCTGGCCAATCAAAATTCCCCGCTATCTACATGTAGAGTACGTAGAGCAGAGTACGGGTTCCCTGCTTTTGCGCAGTACTCTACCTACGTTGCAGTGCAGCACTGTGGGATGATGATACCAGTAACCAGATATGGGGAGTAGAGTACACCGATGAAGATGAAGATGAAGGATGAAGGATGGATGGTGGAGGGATGCCATCTCGTCTCGTCTCGTCTCGTCCCCGTCCGCTCCCGTCGGGATCAAAATCGAAACAGAAACAGAAACAGAAAAGAGCAGGGTCACTGAGCTTCCTCCCCCCACCCTACCTTCCCCCACCTCCCCTTAGATAGTATGTCTTCCCGAAGCCGCACCGCCTCCCCGCCGTCGAAGAAGAAGAAGAAGAATACTCCGGGAATCGATTGTGCGGGGATCGGACGGCACGGAGACAACACGGGGATCAGTTGTTGTCGGGGGAGGGGGGGGGGATTCGTATGCATTCGCCACCGCCCTGGCCATCTTGCGTACGATCGCGCGCACGCTTGCTATGCATGGAGTAGAGCAGATGCCGGGCGTGATTTTTTTTGCACTGCCACTTGCCGAAGCCGAGAGGTGGCAGGTGTGTACATGGTTGTGACAGGTACATGGTAGGTAGGTGGTAGGTAGTAGAGTAAGCACCCAATTGGACGGAATGTCCGATGGGCGGTTGTCCGCTGGATGTCCGCTGGATGTCCGCTGGATGTCCGATGGATGGACGGCTGGATGTGGCACGGATGAGGCGCGAATAGAATACTCTACGTTCACAACGAAGGGTGCTGCGCAAATCGAGTGGCGAGTGTGGTTGGTAGGGTGACATGGGATGTATGGATGGGGCTTGCGCGGCTGGCTGGGTGGTGTGTGGTGCGGAGGGTGGTGCGGAGGGACGGGTTGGCTTGTGAAGATGAACGTGAAGATGGAACGTGAACTTGTTTTGCAGGAGGCGCTTCCGTTGTTCGTTGTTGTGGCGTGAGGAGTGGGGCGTGGGACACGGGGCGTGGGGGTCGGGAATATGGTTGTTCCGTTAGCATGGCACGTGATTGTGCATCGTGGGTCACTCGAGGCAGTGAATGGATGGGAGGGGAGGGAGGCTCGACTTTCGGCTTGAGGAATGGAATTGGAGGGCTGGGAAGGGATGGGTTCTGAGGCTGTGCCATGGTTGGATGGGTGCACGGTCAATCTGGCGTGGGTGGTAGTTGAGTTCGAAGCACGATTGCTTCACGGAATGAAGGTGAGTAGCAAGTGAGCTTGAATGGGTGTTCAAAGGGCCATTGTAATATGACTTGGCTATTCGAGGATGAAGTTAGCCACTCGGATCCCATTCACCCTCGATAGGTAGCTCTCAATGACTCCTTGCGAGTGACACTCCATGTCCACGCACTAAAAGCTCTGCTCTGCCACGACGGCTAGGCTTGGAAGCTAACCCTGCGTCGCATCAAAACAGGCCCTGTACATGCTCCAAACACCTCTATGTACCCCGCCACCAAACAAAGCCCCACCACGACCTCTACAACAACAATCAAAACCTTCCAGCAACTTCATCAACCCCATCACTGAATCCCCAAACCCGCAACCCCGCAACCACCATTCAAAATGCTTGAGACGATTTACGTAGCGCGCCACGGCGTACGTCCCCGGCCTCCTCCATCCGTGCAAGCAAGCATCCACAACTAACCAATCCGCGTGGCCCTCCAGTTCCGCAGCAACTGGACGACCGACAACGACGGCAACTACTCGGCCACGATCACGTCGCCGACCGGCATCGCCTCGGACCCGCCACTAGCCGCCTACGGCGTCGAGCAAGCCCACGAGCTAGCCACCTACGCTGCCAGCGTCGACCCCAAGATCGAGCGCATCTACTCGAGCCCGTTCTACCGCTGCCTGGAGACGATCAACCCTCTCGCCGAGATCCTCGACCTGCCCATCCTCTGCGACAACGGCATCGGCGAGTGGTACGGCGTAGCGCGCTTCGGTACGCCCTCCCCCCACATCCCCCGCCCCCCTCCCATACTAACGTGGAGAGAAAGACCACCCCTCCCCCGCAGCACCCGAGATCCTGCACCGCTTCTTCCCGCGCGTGCGCACCAGCTACGACCCCACCATCATCCCGAGCACCAAGGGCGAGACGCTGAGCGAGATCCACAACCGCACGGCATATGCGTGCGCCAAGATCATTAGCGACATCGACCGCGAGTGGAAGGAGACGGGCACCGGGCCGCGCGCGATCCTGCTCGTGGCTCATGCCGCCACGAATATCGCTATCGGACGGGTGTTGACTGGTATGTCCCGTCGGGGTGTGGTGATAGCTGGCTGGATAGGGGGCTGACGAGGCGTGTGTAGGTGACGAAAACCGTGAAATCCGCGCCGGCACGTGCAGCATGAGCATCTACCGTCGGCGGGCGACGACGACACCACCAGCGCCGAACGCGCTCCCGCTCCCGTCGACCGAGGACCCAATTCCGGACACGAACTGGCGTGGCGGCAAGGGCGTAGTCGGCGGGTGGGACCAGATCCAGAACGGCGACTGCTCGTTCCTCAAGAACGGCGAGGAGCGGAATTGGTGGTTCGAGGGCGACGAGAGCTGGGATTTCCCCGTCGTCAAGGAGGGCACCGCGGGTGTGGAGGGCGGCTTGACGGCGGCGATCGAGGGCGGGTTGACGGAGGGCGCTATTGGTGGGCCTGGTACACTGCCTGAGGCGGGAAAGGCCGAGGATACCGCCCACATGCATAAGGTCGAGAAGCAGCGGAGCAATATCTGATACTACTCCTACTCTACGCTACGTGCGCTGCGCTGGGTTTACGGTTGCTTCATCACTACTTGAATCTGCTTCTTCTTGTTGCTTGCTGGAAGCGTTTGTTTTGATTGTAAAAGTTTCACGATAGACCTCTGGACGAATTTGATATGATATCCCATGCCACTACTCTACTGAATGAGTGAGAGCACGTGAAGTGAAGTGAAATGCCAACCCGTTTTTTAAGATCACAATCGCCTATTTGATTCTGCAAATGATTCCGCCCACCTACGCCTTCAAAATCTCCTCCAAAGCCTTCGCACAGGCATCACCCATCTCACTGGTGCTCGCGCTACCCTGCAGATCCGCCGTCCTCAGCCCGCCATCCAGCACCTTCCTGACCGCATCCTCGACCGCCTTCGCCTGCGTCGGCAAGTTCAGACTGTACCGCAGCATCATGGCGACACTCAGGATGGCGGCGACGGGGTTGACGATGCCCTTGCCGGCAATATCGGGCGCGGAGCCATGGATGGGCTCGTAGATACCGTTGACCTTTGTCTTCCCGTCGGGAATTCCCGACAGCGACGCTGACGGCAGCAGGCCGAGCGAGCCGGGGATCACGCTCGCCTCGTCGCTGATGATGTCGCCGAACAGGTTGCTGGTCACGACGATGCCGTTGAGCGCGCGCGGGTTCTTGACCATCAGCATGGCCGCCGAGTCGATCAGCTGGTGCTGGTACTTGACGGTCGGGAACTCGGTGGTCATGACGTGGTCGACGGTCTTGCGCCACAGTCTCGACGTGGCAAGCACATTCGCCTTATCGAGCGACGTGAGCGGCAGCGGGGGGTTCTCCGCCATGGCCAGATGGCCCGCCAGGCGCACGATCCGCTCGATCTCGGCGCGGCTGTACGGCTCGGTATCCATCGCGTAGCCGCTGCCGTCATCTTCGATCCGGTCCCCAAAGTAGATTCCGCCCGTCAGCTCGCGGATGATGTTGAAGTCCACGCCGCGGCACACCGAATCCTTGAGCGGCGAGTACGCGATCAACGACTCGGACGCGAAGTTGCACGGTCGCAGGTTTCCGAACGTGCCCATTTCCTTGCGGATGCGGAGGAGGCCCTGTTCGGGGCGCACGGCGCCTGTGCCCCATTTGGGACCACCGACCGCGCCGAGAAGGACAGCGTCTGCGGATTGTGCCGCCGCGAGCGCGGAGTCGGTTAGGGCCGTGTTGTGAGCGTCGATGGAGCACTGCGTAGGAGTGTTAGACGGGTAAGAGCGGAGGAGCGGGGAGAGGTACGCCTCCAATGAGCTGGTAGTTGAAGTTGAAGGCTACGTCGGGGCTGTTGGCAGCGATGACATTGAGAGTCTGGATTCCCGGATTGTTAGTGGAGAATGTGGAGGAGGAAGGATGGCGTCTACCTTGATGGCCTCCGCGATGACCTCGGGACCGCAGTGGTCACCTATTATCGTTAGGCGAAGTGCAATTGATCAACTCCATCACCTGACTAACCCTCAAACACCACGATGTCGAAAGTCTGAACCATGTTGTCTTGCAGTGTACGGGTTGGCAATTGAATTTGCAGTAGGGAAGGAAAGCGTGTGCGTGAGTATGGCGAGGGAGGGTGGGCGGAAGGTTGTTGGGTGTGTAGCCTTTGGTGGGGTGGACCGTAGCTTGGCAGCGGGGTTTGAGTATCTAATGCGATGGCAGACTTTCACAAGCGAGAAGACCCCACGATGCTTTGCCGATCGGGCGCGTGTACCGTAGAAAGTGCTAGTTAATCTACTTATGCAAAGGTTCGATTGATGGGTGGTGTCCGAAAATCACTGAAAATGCCTCCCTTCCCCGAACGCCAAAAACACCAACACCAAAACCATGCTATCAATCGGTAAAAGCAGTACGAGTGAATGTGGACCCTAACGGAGCTGGAGCTCCTGCAGCATGCTGATGTTCGTGTACTCGATTTCGCCGGGCGCAGATCCGGGGCTGTTGATGCCATTAGCAGTCAGCGATCAACACCTACAGTTCGGGGAAGCGCAGGGAGCCCTACGTTTCGGCAGCGTAGATCTGGAGTCCCCTAACATGCGTATCCTTTCCATTCTGATGATTCGCGTGGATGGCGACTTGAATCAAGAAAGTCCTGAGCTCGCCATCCTCATGCACATCATCCAGCCGCACTTCAATCCACCCAGTCGGTCGTTCCAAATCTAGCTTCGTAACCTCAATAAGATCATGAAACCCCGTTCCGCTGAGTACACTCATCTTCGTTGGCGTGTAGCTCTCATCGTTCTCGAAGTCGAGGTACATCCTGATGCGCTTCACCTTGACGCGCTTGGCGAAGTGGATGTTGATGTGGTGTGGTTGCGGTCCATCGCTCTGCCAGAACAGTGTGGTGTCTTCGTCACGCAGCTGCTCTACGCCGTTGCCCGGCTTCGCGGTGGACACGGTCCAGGAGGCGAGGTTGCCGATTTCCTTGAGGCCCACAAGCGAGTCTAGACCTTTCGCCGCGGCATCTGTGGAAGTTGCCGAGTGGACATCTCCATCATATTCCTCCTCCTCCTCTTCCTCCTCCTCATCTTCGAGTTCTTCTGGCTCGTCAGAGTCCTCGAGAGGCGTAGTGGGGTCGCGTTGTGTAGGTGCGGCGGACATGTTATCCGAGTCGCCTTGCGAGATGGTTTCCTGGTCGGCGTGGGAGTCCTCTTCGGATTCGGAGGGGGGCGGCGGTGCGCGGCGACGGGATATGCGGTGGAAAGGCATTTCAGTGGAGTGGGTGGGGTTTGGACCGACGACTCGGAGTATTTGGTGGTGTTGATAAGATTCGGGGATGACGCGCTTGATAGGTTCTCAACGCTTAGGCACGTGACCGCGCTAGCTCCCTAGTAGGGCTGTGAGAACAGCCTAACTGTATCGTGGATATTCACGCTCGAGGAAACCAAGGACACGCTTGAAAGTTGTCAAGCCTTCGACAAAGCCATTTTTCTTTCGGCAACAATTGAGGGGCCGTATTTATGGAAACAGCATCGAATACAGGCAGTTAGGCATACCCAAACACTACAAATCATCATTCTGCCCAGTAGAGGTATCATCACACCAATCCAAAAAACAGAAAGAAAAGGAACAAGGGGAAAAGAAACACCAAACACCATTTTTCCAATCCCTCCCTTTTCTGCACCCACCACACCCGGCCTAAAAGAAAAAACTGAGGACGAAACGAGATGGTAATAGAAACACAGAATTAGAAATCCCCATAACACCTTACAATCGCATTCCGAGTCTTCCTCACGTTATCCGCCACCTGCTCCACGCCTCCAAACACCGCCTCCTGCCGCCTGAGGACACCGCCGACACCATCCTCCTTGAGCACATCATCGACGAGCGTCTGAATCGCGTCTTCGTCTTCTAAAGTCTTCAGCGCGCTCTTTGCCCGCTTCAAAACCTCTGCCTTCCGCTTCTTGGCAGCCTCTGCCAGCGCAGTGATGGAAGGCTTGGGAACAGCCGGCTTGAGGCTCTTGGTTGCGTTCAAAAACTTAACCAAGCTCTCAGCCACGGCAGCCGAATCACGACCCATCCATAGCGCGTGCAATTGCCTCCAGTCTGGGATCTCATCGTCCGTGAGGCTGACGAAGGTCTTGGGAAACAACTCTGCGGTGATGCCCTCGAGCGCTTTCGATACTGTCTCTCCGTCCTTCTTGACAGCGGCTCCAGCTAGTTCGGCAATGGCACCGGCAAAGAGAAGTTGTGACTTCTCCGCGTCCGTGAACTCGTCATCTCGTTCACCGGCTTTTAGTGCAGCGGCAATGCGGCCAGCCACATCGGTGGCAAGCGTCGGCTTCTCGCTGGCCGTAGCAGCACCATTCGAATCCTTCCCAGCAGCCGCAACCGTCTCAAGGAACTGCGAGACCTCCGAAGCGGCCGCGAAGCCACGGGCCCAGTTCTCCGCCGGCGTGGGGCCGATTCGGAAAGCGCGCTCATACGGACCAACGGAGGCGAGTTCGCAGTCGATTATGACGGCAAAGTCGCGGTTGTCCCAGACTGCACCCTTGTAGCCCACTTCAGCGGACATATCTTGATTCGGCAATCCCGGGATAATCCGGGCGAGTCGTCGGAGTTCAACCTCCCACATGGTCCGGCACACACTGCCTTCAACACGCTCTGAGAACTCGAGGAATCCCATCATCTGTGCGTAGCCTCCGCGTTCGAAGGCGAGCTGTAGCATGTTGGGAGTTTGGGTTCGTGAGGACTCGTAGATACCGAGGGCATGGTGTAGGTATGAGGGGGTCCGGGCATCGTTAGGAAGGAGGGTGGAGATTCGCGTTAGCAGGAAATGTGAGAGTGTGTCATGCTGGATTTGTTTGATGTTGAGCCGAGGGTAGACGTCAATCGCAGAACCAATGGCCCCGAGCAGGAGGTAAATCCGTACTAAGAGGAGGAGAGCTTGATAGTTGTGTTTTGACTTTTGAAGCAGAGTCTCCAGAATTTGAACTGACTGATAGAGGGGCGATTGATCCTTGGGAGAGAGGGTGTAAAGGCGGATCAGTCCCATGATGGCCAGTAGCGCCGCATCGTCACCATACTGATTGTCAGTAACCAGTAGGGAGCTTCCGAGAGAAAGCGCAGACGCATAGAGCTTTAGGGTCCCGGTAATGAAGGTTGTGATGGTTTTTGTAGTTGTTGGCGAAGCAGTGTTGAGGGATGAAATGGTGAGAAGATACACGAACTTCTGGAAGTTGATGGCAGAAGCTACTCTGTCAATTCGCTGTTTCTGTTGCGGAGGTCAGCACACGCTTGATGTAAAGATTCGTTGGTAGCATACTTCACTTTCCTCCGGGAGTTTTTCTACTGCTCCCTCGACATATTTCAGGAAATCTTTCTTCTCCGAGTCCTCGAGCATCTCGAGGTACTTCTGGATATCCTCAAAGCAGCAGCTCTTGCTACAGGTGTTGACAAAATACTCCTCGACGGCCTCCAACAGAGTAGGTGTGCCTTCCGGCCCGTCATTCTTGTCGTGGAAGAGACTAGAGAACTTCACCAGCGCCAGATCACCGTGCCGCGGCGAACCGGTGGGGAGAGCTTTGCGGTGTTCCAGGATCTTTTCCAACGACTCCTTGGCAACGGTCTTGTCACCGTCGTCGTAAAGCTTTCCGGCAGCCATCACAAATCCGTCCCAAACCCGCCAATCATCACCTCGTCCCTGCTGGACAGCATCCGGCTTCGCATCCTTCGTCTCATCCTTCTTCTCATCGTCGGGGTTTGCCTCTTCCCCGTTCCCATTGGCTTCAGCCACGGCATTCGCTTTCGGCAGCAGCGAAATGCAAGTCTCAAACAACGTCCTCCAATCCTTGGTATTCTCGAGAAGATCCAGCCTTTTCCTTGCCAAACCCCACCAATCACCACTCCCTACTGTCGAATCGACACCAAGATTGGCGGAATTGAGCACCTCCAGAGCTTCCTTGGCCGCATCACCGGGAGCAACATACGGCAGAAGCTCAAGTAGCAGATTGACCTCCTGGCTGGTCTGTATCGCGCGCGGAGGTATGATTGCGGTGTTGGCCGGAGTGTCGGTGCGCGCTTTGGCGATCATGCGGTAGGCGAGTGTGCCGAAGAGCTTGCGTTCCGAGGAATCGGCTGGGAGTGAGTTCTATGGAGATCAACGTTAGCACTACCGAGAAACGGCAGATCATAGGATGAGCATACATGCAACATCAGACTGGAGATCACAGCCCAGAACCAGTATTCCCTGCGCTTGGTGTAGGTCTTCTGGAGGTTCATGGCCGCCTTTTGAGCTCCGCGCCAATCCAGCGTCTTCACGGTACCCCAGAACCACTCTCGTGCCAGCTCCTCGTTGTGGGGTTGCGCCTTGACGGCCTTCTCCCAGAGCTTTGTGACCTCGTCGGCATACTTCGGACCAAGGTTCGACCACACACGACCTAGCAGACGTAGCACCTCAACGGACTGTGTTGGAGGGGTTTTATCGGCGAGGGTCTGCGCAATCTGTATAGCTTCTTCGGTAGTCGCAGGACTGTGGATATGCGTGAGAACAAATGCTTTCAAAGCCTAACACCACCACCCCCGGAGATGTCAATTTACGCTGGCTTCGGGGTGAAGAGGTGCGAGTTGATTTACAAGGAGGTTCTCATTCTTTTCGCCTTTCTTAATGCGCCGGTTGCATAGCTGGAGCGCCTGCTTGTATGCACCCAACTCGAGTTGGTCCCAGACAAGATGGTTCTTGCGATCGGCGGAAGAGCTTGCGACGGACATTGGTGGTGGTAATTGGCGGTGGGAGATGCTATGTGGTGAAAATAGTCTGAAGAGAAAACAACATGCACAGCCGAGCGCTGGGAGAATATAGAGAATGAAAGGGTTGTGCACAAATGCCAGAAGAAGAAGATGAAGAAGGGACCGTCCGAGTGAGAGGCCGGAAGTGGGGGTGAGGATCGAAAGTGGAAACGTAACGTTCTTCGGAACTGCCGGGTAAAAGAAGGCTTATGTCGGGACCGGATTTATGTAGAAAACAGCCCGCCCCTTGTGTTGAGCTCCACCCGTGTTCATCTCCTCAACCTTTGACCGGATCTGAACGACACAATCATGCCTTTGATCAAAGCATACTACATCATCAGCGCCGTGGCCGTGGTCCACCTGGCCATGGGATATTACCTGATCGCAGCTCCCGAGAAGATTGCAACACAGTCGACAATATTCATCCTCGGGGAAGCACTTGGCCTGGTAAGCGTTCTCCGACGCGGTATGGCGGGAGCTTATTTGCTGACTTCATTGTTCCACAGCAACAACCAAGGTCATCACTCTACGAAAATCCACTCGCATGTGCCTTCGCCGGTCTCGTTCTGATCCTCTCCGCCATCTCCGATCTTACCACTGTTTCCGGAGCCGAGGATGTCGCTAGGGATTACTGGGGAGCTCAAGGTATGGCCAGATTTCTCTCCCGAATGCAAGAGCGCAGCTCACAATTTGGATTATAGCTCCGGTTCGCACACTATTCTTCGTCATCGTTACCGGATACGCGTATGTTTTGAAGCCTGGACGCGGCAATGTCAGTGCTACCTCCGACCACCCATTGATCAACAGCGCTATATTCTCATGGGCATTCATGGAGGCGATTTGGTGGTTCTGGGTATGTTATTTCGATACAGTCAATTGTAAGGATGAAGCTGACCATGTATTCGTGTGCAGATCCACACTAACCTGCGCGAGGAGCGCGGTGAGGCAATGGCGAGGATCCACGCGAGGAAGAAGGCGAAGTTGGAGATGGAGATGAGGGAGGACTAGATGCGATAATGCTGTGAAGACGAGATGCCCATAGTTGGATAAAGCTTATAGAATTGCTGCTGCGGATGTACCTGTAGATTTATTATACCCTCATAACAACCGACCTTGCTGTGGACTCTCCCGGCTGGGAACACAAAATGTGTTGAGTGAAGACCCAAGAACTAATTATCAGCCGCGCTAGCGAAACCCTTACCCATCCCGCCCTTGCTGAAATCTTCGCCCTCTGCCAACTCGAGCAAACGTTTGTCACCAATTCACGTCGTGCTGCTTCAACCTCCAAGCGAACTTTCCTCTCACCCCCACCTCACCGCCGCCATGGGTCTCGCGGGCCCCAAAGCGTAGTTCCCTTCTCTACTCTCCTCATAATTGCCACATCTGACACACACCGCAGTAGCACAAAAATCAGCAAAGACCCCCGCAACACCTTCTGGTCCAAGGACACCTCACGTTTCGGACACCAGTACCTCGCGAACCTTGGCTGGGTCCCTGGACAGAACCTTGGCGACACCACCTCCTCGTATCATGCCTCGGGCCACATCACCGACGCGTCTTCAACCGGAATCAAAATCGTGCTGAAGGATGATACCCTGGGTATTGGTGCTAAGAAGGGCGCGCAGCATGATGAGTGCACGGGTCTATTGGGACTGCAGGGACTGCTGGGAAGATTGAATGGCGATGATAAGGTGGTCGAGCAGGTTAAGCTCGAGGAGGATAGGAAGAAGAATGAGTGGATCCAGAGCAAGTGGGGCATGAGGTTCGTGAGAGGGGAAGTCTGGGTGGCTGATGATCTTACGAAATTGAGGGAGAGAATGGTTAAAGAGAAGGAAGAGAAGGCGGAAGCTTTGAAAGCGAAAGCGGAGAAAAAGGATGGCAAGAACTCGGATGACAAGGACTCTGGTGAGGAGGCTTCGCGCAAAAAGAGGAAGAGGGATTCGGATGATGTGGAGAAGGATAAGAAACAATCGAAGAAGTCGAAGTCAAAGGACGGGAAGAAGAAGAGCAAGCGACGTGGCTTGGAGGAGGACGGAACGGAGACACCAGCGACGACGGACCGGGAATCGAAATCCAGGTCCGTGTCCGGTGACGAGACAGAATCTAAAGAAGAGCGAAAGAGCAGACGGAAAGAGGAGAAGCGGCTAAAGAAGGAGAGGAAGGAGAAGAGGGATGCTCGGAGGAAGGAAAAGAAGGACAGGGAAGAGAAGAAGAAGAAGAAGAAGAAGGCTTCCTCTGATGGTGATAGCTCTTCAGAGAGTGAAACAGAGGCTGCATCTGGATCTGTGACTCCGGCGAGTGCGATGAACGGTAGGCATGCTCTGCGCCACAGGTTTATTGCCGCAAAGAGGAGTGCTATGATGGATGCCACATCGTTGAACGAGGTTGGTCTCCGCTTCCTCCAAAGTATAGCTCTCAAAATGGTGGTATCTAACCATAGTTCTCCAGATTCTCATGATCAAGGCATAATAGACGGTACTTTGTGTACTTCGCCATGGCTAGAGTCTTTCTCAGGTTATAAAAAAGTTGATGTTCATAGCATTTGTTTGGTAGCGAGTTGGGCTTTTCTGGATTTGCATAATATTGTGCATGTAACTCTGTTGTCTCCTCCGGAATACTGTATTCTTCAAGGGGGATCGCGTGGTAAATTGATGTTCAATCGCGAACTGAAGCTCTCCGTTGCACGTGACAGCTTGACAGCTTGCTAGCTTGGCAACGATATTGCTCACTCCTCTCTTCCCGCTTCTCTGGCCGCGTCGCGGACCCGCCGCTGGTCTCTTTGTCTTTCTGCCTTTTTTCACCGCATCATCAACGTCGGCATCTCATTTGCCAGCCATATAATCCCGTGACATTCCCGTCGGCCTGCTATCAAAGCTTCGACTACCTTCTATGATTCCAAGACAATCGATCAGCTACTCCCATACAATTGTTAGTTGGTGGTTTGCCGTATAAGTTGTGGCGACGCACAAACTGAACCAGAAACCACCAATCAACATATCCTTGCTTGTTGCCCCTCATCCCCTCCAACACTACCAGATACCAACAGCACAACCACCCTTCGTAAGTAAAAGTTGCTTTCAACCACCCCCTCTCCCCAACGCTCTCACCATTACCTTCATCAAGCCCCACTCCTCCTGCTATCATTTACCCCCCGTCGCCAGTCCATCCAGCCGTCCATCCATCCATCTATCGCGACGCTCGCTTAAACTTTCTAGGTTCTTTGAAGCTCGTGGTCGGTTCGACAGCTTCGCACCAACCATGGATGAACTCGTTGCCCAGTTCATCGCAGTGACGGACTCTTCTCCCCAGAAGGCGCAGTCGTACCTCAAGGTCTCGGATAACGACCTTGGAAATGCCATCGCTCTCTTCTTCGATACCGGCGGTGTAGATATTGAAGACAGCAGCCCGTCGGCCCCGCCTCCGCTCCCCGCGCGTCCTGCTGGACTCAGCCAACCCGTTCACGACGATGACGATGATGATGATGTTCGGGAAGCCTTGAGGGCCAGTGGTACTCCGGGTTCTGCTGCTACGCCTCGCGCCTACGAGGACGATGAGGCGATGGCGAGGAGGTTACAGGAGGAGTTTTACGGAGCGAGCAGAGGGCCGGGTGGTGGGGATGAAGTTCGAGCTCCCATTGCGAGGACTACGGAAACGCTTGTTGGGCCGGACATGGACGATGACGGTTATGGAATTCCGGCGCGACAGCCACGAGGTTTGTGTTCTCCTGGTAGATGATTTGAGATGGAGAACCAAACTGATGCGCTCGGTAGTTCGAGCTGGGATTTTCAATCAGCAGAGTTCGGTGTGGAACCGAGTACAACCCGAGGAACTAACCCTCGAGGAGCGACGGCGCCGTATGGCTGCTGCTACGGGAGGCGCTTCGGAGAGAGGGTCACACGCTGGGCGGCTGGCAGAACTGTTTAGACCACCTGTCGAGATCATCTCCCATCTGGGTTTTGAGGAGGCGTGTGATGACGGCAAGGAGCAACAAAAGTGGATCCTAGTCAACATCCAGGAGGAAGCGAATTTTGGCTCCCAGATCCTCAATCGCGACATTTGGAAAGACAAAGAGGTCCAACAGGCTGTCATGGAGAACTTCATTTTCCTGCAATGGCTCAACAACGGCAGAGATGGTCGGGATTACGTGAGGTTGTACATGCCCGACGCCTTGTCAGGAATCGACGCCAACGCTTTCCCACACATTGCCATCATCGACCCTCGAACTGGTGAGCAGGTCAAGGTGTGGAAGGAGATGCCTAAAACACCTATCGAGTTTGTGCACACAGTTTACGAATTTCTGGAACGGTATTCACTTCGTGATGATGACAAGAATCCTGTTCAACGTGTGACGAAACCGAAGCCAAAGCCTGTCAATATCGAGGCTATGACAGAAGCAGAACAGCTGGAGCTTGCTCTGCAGAATTCGATGGGCGGTGGCGCGACCGGCAACGAGGATCTGGCGGACAACATCGCGGATGACGTCGATTTGATGGATGTGGAGCAGCCCGAGCAGAAGTATCTGGAGCCTAAAGGCAAGGCAATCGAGCAGACACCTTTTCAGAAGATTTCCGGTACCAATCACCACCAGGAGCCGGCCCAGGGACCTGACTCTACGAGGATACAATTCAAGCTCCACGACGGAAGCAGAGTTGTTCGCAGGTTCCTCCTCAGGGATACAGTCGAACGGCTGTTCGAGTTTGTCAAGGCGGACCTGTTGCCGGAGAAGGAGGCACAGAAGGACGGCGGAGGAAACCCTCACAAGGAGTTTGAGCTGGTCAGTATGGGCAAGCGTCTGATTGAAGTGTTGGACAAGACCGTTGAGGAGGCTGGGCTCAAGATGGGCACCATCATGGTGGAGGCGTTGGAAGAATAAACTGCGGTGCTTTGTTTTTCCTCCTGTCTGTCTCCTTTGTCTGCTTGGGATAGTGCAATTGTAAGCTCTGGTATGGGTCAGTTGCTATAGGTGGGGTTGCTGCGAGGCGCTGCAGACATTAATGTGTTTTCTTTCTCATTCTTCATTTCCAGATCATCGTGTCTGTGGTCTTTGCGGCGCGTATATGCGGGATCCTCAGTTGTATCTAGCTAGATTTTCTGGTCCTTGTTTTCCCTGGATCATTTGATAAAGAGTTGATTTGTGTTGGCTGGGAAGTTACCGCGCTTGATCTTGGGGTTCTCCTGATTACCTGTTAAATTACATGGAATGCTATTCGAGGGTTATCAGCGTATACTGGCGGTGGTTACGGGCGTTGTTGTGTTTACATGGCGGGTGAGCGTTTATTTTGTGGTGTAGCAATTAGTCGCCCCCTGACGACAGCGACAGCCCCCACGTCCCTCTAAGTGCTCACGGAGTGGGTAGGTTAAACCACCCTCCACACTTCCTCCACCATCCTCATCCGCCACAAGTGCTCAACTCCCCTTCCCTAATAACACTGACGACACTCGCTCGGCTTTCACCTATAACTACACATTCTCTCGTCGCTTCTTCTGCTCCGGTAGAAACATCCCGTTCGCATTTTGGGTGCTCTCGCCTGTGTTTTGGAGGCGTTGAGACGCCTTCCGAACCTCCCGACCTTTACCTATCTAACCCTACCCTCTCCACCGCGATCAGGAACACCTCATTCCACTCACCCGTCCCGTCCGGAGTAATCACTCTCTTCCGAGCCGTCGATATAGTTCCGGACGAATCGCTTCTCGGCGACTCGATCGCGACGCACGGATCAACCCTGCACACCACCGAGCACTCCATACCAGCCTCCTCACGTCTCCTCCAGATATGAGCATAGCATCTGCTCGCTACGCGAGCTACCACGAGCCACCGGCGGGCGGCGGAGGTGGCGGACCGACAATCGGCGTGGCGGCGGGCCCCCCGAACGAGCTCGTTGACCCCGAGTCGCTATACACCAAGCAGGGACTCATAGGTGGGTTTGCGTTCTTACGGGCTGGGGATTTGAAGAGGGAGGAGGAGGGAGTGCTGTTTTCTTGTTGCTGGGTCCGGTGCTGACTACTGTGTCCCTTGCAGGTGGCGGTAGTTTCGGAAAGGTCTACAAGGGCGTCGATAAGCGGAACGGGCAGGCGGTAGCCATAAAAGTCATCGATGTTGAGAACGCCGAAGATGAGGTCGATGACATCATTCAAGAGATCAATATTCTCTCCGAGCTCCATTCGCCCTATGTCACCAAGTACCACGGTTCGTACCTCAAGGGTTCCGACCTGTGGATCATCATGGAGTTCTGTTCTGGTGGCAGTTGCGGGGATCTGATGAAGCCTGGCTTGATCCCGGAGGAGTACATCACGATCATTATTCGGGAGCTGTTGATGGGATTAGAGTACTTGCACAGCGACAACAAGCTGCACCGGGATATTAAAGGTTTGCACCTATCCCCTTTTGTGCAGTTTGGGCGAGGCAGGGGAGCTGATGAGAATCTGTAGCGGCAAACGTGTTGCTGGCGTCAAATGGCCAAGTTAAGCTTGCGGATTTTGGAGTGTCCGGGCAGTTGACGGCAACGATGACGAAAAAGAATACTTTCGTCGGAACTCCTTTCTGGATGGCACCGGAGGTCATCAAGCAGTCAGGATACGACCAGAAGGCCGACATTTGGTCGCTTGGGATCACGGCCATTGAGCTTGCTATGGGAGAGCCGCCGTATTCCGATATCCATCCTATGAAGGTCCTCTTCCTTATTCCCAAGAACCCACCACCGCAATTGGAGGGTAGCTTTTCGGAGCGCTTCAAGGAGTTTGTTAGCCTATGCTTGCAGCGAGATCCCCGAGATCGGCCATCGGCAAAGGAGTTATTGAAACATCCATTCGTGAAGCGTGCTAAGAGGACAACTTATCTCACCGAGCTCATCGAGCGACACGAGCGGTGGGTGATGGAGAATGGCAACAAGAAGGGAAGCGATGAGGATTCCGACGAAGGAACTATGGACAGTAGGGAGAGTAAATCCACTGAAGAGGAGGAGGACGACAATGACTTGTGGGATTTCGGAACGGTACGACCAAGTGGTGGTGGTGCTGGTCGGAACACCCCGGGGTTGAAGAGTTTGAGTGCAGCGCAGGCAAATATGAGATATATCGCTCAGACCGTGGAGAGTAATGACTTTGAGAGCCCGGGCACACCGAAGGGAAGCCGAGACCGTCGGAGTGAAGAAAGGGCTTCGGCCATCCACCCCCAAACGAGAGCCCAGGAAAACAACAAACAGCCACAGTCTCCACCGGTGCCGCCACATGGCAAAGACTCGGGATACGGAACGGCCTCGGACACAGTTAGGGGCATGAAACGGCTAGACTCCCATCAGCCTGCGCCGCCGACACCACTACCTGCGCATCAACTACCGCCACCCTATCGGGACGATCGGCAGCCGGTGCCCATGCAGCCGCTTCAGCATCACAATCACAGCAGACAAGTCAGTATGTCTGCCGAGAGCGAGCGGTTACTACAGGCAGAGCTGGCGAAAGATGTTAGCTGGATGAGGATAGCCCAGGGACAGCCAGGCATGGCTGACCACGATCGTACGCCAACGGGAAGCAGGGGATCCGCAGCTAGTCCAGATGTTCTTCCAGATCACGGGGGACTGACTGCGTTCCCCAACCCGCAGCTCGGAAGGCAAACATCGCACGATCTTGCCCAGGAGCAGATGCGGCGGCAGATCGAACAACAGAATAAGGTCAGACTCGAGGAGCAACAACGACAGCAATTAAGGTCGATACAGCCGCCTCCCGGGCTCGGTCATCAGCCACGTCGGGCCCCGAGCGGCGCGCTAGTACCCCCTCAACCGCCATCGCACTCTTCACAGCTCAGAAACACCCCCTCCACGCAGACTTTGCAGCCCGCCAATGAACGACGGCAGTCGGTGCCTCCACCTCCCCCGGATCATATGCCGGCGAACAATGGCCTACTTCAGGACAACGAAGGGGAAGTCACTGCGTTGGGCGGTGTTATTCTCCCTGCCCTAGAGGCAGCGTTGACCAGACGCACCTATCATCTCCAGCAGCAGTCCATGCGAAAGGGTCTCAAGAACCAGGAGAAACATCAACACGCACATGACAAACTCAAGCGATTGGTTTATAAAGCTGCACAGGTTTTCAAGGACATCGAAGAATGGGATAAGGCGGCGCCTGTCGGAATGGGCAGTGAGGTTAGCGGATTCCTAGAGGGGTTCTTGGAGGAGGTGCTCGTTAGGGTCGAGGCCGAGGAGGAAGAAGAAGTAGTGCCGGCCAGACACCATCCACATCAACAACATCCCCAACAGCAGCAGCACCCTCAGAAACACCAACCTATGCAACCTGGCCAGCAGAGGCGGTGGTAGTTCTTTGTATATGTACCTGGGAACCCTTACTAGCCTCTCTTTATAACTGATGCTTAATACCCATTGACTATGCGTTATCCTATGCGCCTTTCTTTTACTTTTTCTTTCCTTTGTTACGGTCGGTCTATGGCATAGGGTGGCGGGATAGGGTTGGTTTTTTTTTTCACACGGTTCGGATGCGAGAATGGAACGGAAAGATGGGACTCTGGTGTTTAATGTCGGCAACGGGAATACCGCTGGGTTTAGTTACGGTTGCTTGATTGCGGAAGGGCGGAGGTTGTTGCTTGCTAAGATACCCACAACCATGCTTACATTTTGTTATTCGTTTTTGATGTGATTATGATTCTGCTCCTCTCATGGTCGTGTTTGGGACCGCTTGTCTGTGTGTAGTGTTGTGTATGCAGGAGGTGGTGTATGGGGGGTGTTACGAATTGTACATATACTGTGGCGATTATGAGATTATGAGGATTTGAGATGTCGAGATGGCCGTCGATCTTCGTTACCACTGCAGTTCCCTGCGATGGTGCCGATGCCTTTCTCCATCTCTTTGAACTACATACATGCGAGCAGGAACTCTACCGCCGCCTACCCACGGGCCTAAGAATAAGCGATCATTTACTAGTGTTAATATCGAACGGTATTCGTTAGAGAATTTGTTTTATATACGCCAGAGACTTGTGGTGGTGAAACCAATGGAGTCCTGTTTTATCACCAAAATCAAGATACTTGATACAGTCGCAAAAAGTAGGCTACAATTGATACGGGAAGAATACCGCGGTCATTTTAATACCGAAGAACTACCAGATTTTTGTTCAATACGTATGCCCACTTTTAGAAAAGTCCAAGAACACGTATTTCCATAATGATAGGAGCCGTACCGTCTTCCTCACATCACGTATCGAAAAGTAGTACGTCATCTACTAGTACATACAAAGAGAGTTCTATGGTGTTGCAATGCACTGCGTAATTACATTGTTACCGTAGTCTTCCCCCTGCCAGCTGTACAGGCCTCAGCAACTGAGTAGGTACGTCACAAATTCGCACGTAAACACAAATATCCCCTACAAGACGACTTAAATTTCTCCGCACCGAGGGGAGGCAAAATCAGTTGACCTGGTACACCGCGCACTCTTGTCTGGTCAGTCCTCAACGCCTCATGTGATATCACTCATTTACCGATATCACTCGACGGTTGAGATTTGATGATTCACGCCAGCCTGGGAACGGGAAAGGAGACGAGTGGAGGAGAAGGAGGAGGCGCCGAGGCTCCGCTGACGATCGATTGTACGGCGTATACCTAGGTCAACGAGCGCATAACACAGTCCACAAGCTCACAATCATTACCGATAAATCACACCGGATTGGACATCATCAATTGATTGTCGCTTGCAGCATTACCACACTATACAACGTAAGACTCCGGAGAGTAAGAGGGCATATGTATGCGCCTTTCTGCATGTAGAGGCATAATGGCCTGTACCTTTGCATGTTGGGCAGCGGGGTAGAGCACGGTCTGGGATATTCGGTAACCCTCCCTCATGCTCCTGCTGGTATTTCCTTCTCATTTCATCCTTAGTCATCCGCTTCTTTGGGGGGTCGCCCTTTGGGAACACGGGTGAATGGTGGTTCACAATGCCCTCCTCCAACACATAGTTGGGACGGGGCAACCCCCCGCCGCCGATTTGCGCCCAGTTTAACTGCTGGAGGGTCACCAAGCATCAGCATCTGACTACCCTTCACAATCCAATCCAATCAAAAGGAGACATACGTACGCGGACGGTTGGGATTTTCGGGGTGGAGCGGCCAGTCTATGTCCGGCCCCACCCCCACGAACAATTCGTCCACAGTAACTTCTACCAACGTGAGGGAGGTTATTCTCTCCCATGGGGGAGAGATTTTGCTCGGCCTCAGCCGAGATCCTCTAAACGCCCTCTTGCGGTCGATCGATTCGGGTCGCACAGAAGAAATCCTTCCACTCTGTGGGTGAAGGATGTTACTGTGGATGAGAGTAGGGGTAGAGGGTGACGAACTGGAGAAGCTCGTACCCAGTAGGCATGTTTTTTTAGAAGGCACCTAGGGCGGGTATGTCGTGGACGGTAAAACGTAGAGGTAAAAGGTATCTGAAGTGGGATACTCGAATGTTGTTTTGTTGGTGGAGTAGGAAAGTAGAAGAGAAGAAGAGGAGGAGGAAGGGGAGGTCGATTCTTATAGAAAACGGGGCAGGTAATTTCCCCGACATGCTTGGCACACAAACAAGATCGTGAAGTTCTGCTAGTGTCTTTTGGTTTGTTTCGGCGAATCTCCTCTCACATAGAACTGTCCCTGTGATCCCGCGGGGTAAAGTGGTTTCGAGATCGAGTGAGAGAGTGTGTGGGGCTTGCAACCGGAACAGAACAAACACTTGAATGCTTCCAGCAACGCTACGCTCGTCAAGTAACCTTGCCCACCTAGTCTAATATGATCCGGAGTCATGCGAGTGGTGCTCGCTGGGTGTTATGACAGCCTACCTACATACCTAGCCTTTACAACTTTACATGACGAGTTTCATACCGTCAGGAGCTCCTAGAGCAAGGCATAGCCTACATAGCTCTCGACGCACCGACTAAAATCAGTCAGAGAGTGGTAGGACAGCTGCTTCTGACTGCTGACGACCGAGATGTTTTTTCGATCCGCCTTTTGGATCCAGCTTTGGCTTCCCAGATAACCAACTACATGGCCCTTATGCGTCCGTGCTATGATTGCAACGTGGGCGCTCATGGGTCCTAAGCGGGTTCGGATAGATCATTTGATTGAGCCACTATGATGTATATAGAAATGATTAACCAGCGGGATCGCCGGAATAACTCGCCATGCCAGAAACATTTGCGGTGCGGAGTAAACAATCAGGTGGGGGATTATAAACAACAACAACACTTGATGGTAGGAATTCTGGCGGCAACTTCGTCTTCTGCTTTGTGAGTGCGACTCCTGGCTTCTACCAAGGCCTGCCTGCCTGCGGTTGCTGACGAGTTGTTCAGGAGTTGATTACAAAATGGGGGCCTGAAAATCCGCCGCATGTCCCCCATCCAAAGTTTTCCGGCTCCGTGTGGCATGAGGTTGTGTCGTCGCACCACAGATTACCCCAGCCTACCAGCATCGTTGTATCGTAACCTGCACGGCCGAGTAAGACCACAGCCGTAGGAATATTATTTTTAGGACCAGGAGCTTTTTTCAGAGCAACATTAAATCATGGACGAAGCTGGGGGAGGGTGGGTGAGGGGGAATAAGTTGTATAAGACGGCTGCTCCACGGTCTCAAGTGGTCTCATCAGCGCAACAGATCATGGAATTCAAACCTCCCCCTCAAACGCTCCAACTTTTACCTTCAAATATCCCAAAGCACCTTACCACTGAAAAATGCAGTTCGCCACATCCCTCGCCCTCTTCCTCTCCGCAGCTATCTTCCTGGCGGTGCCATTGGCAGCCCCCAATGCTGCCGCCCAGGACGAATGCCGCACCGTTGCGTCGCAGACCGCCACGTCCCGCACATGCGCCATCATTCTTCCGCTCCGCAGTGTGCTGTGCCGCGCTTAACCGTCGGTGCTTGCGCCGATCGTGAAGACGGAGCTCATCGCCGCCGAGATCGAGTGCTGGTACTACTTCAATGCCCCGGCTGTCTCTACCGGATACTGGGACCGCACTGTTGATGACTGCTGGATCTTTGAGAGCGCGCTGCAGCTGGGATGTTGAGGTGGGTTACATGCTCCGTGCCTGGATGAGTGGGATTGCTGGTTGCTGACCCGCGGGTGTAGAAACTCTTCCTCGGTGCTCTTTGTAGGATACCGACGGCCACGCAGGGAGATTTTCGAAGGGCATGTCCGGTATACAAGGCCGGAGTGTGTGCGTAAGAGGTGAATGGCGATGGATAGGGGTTGTCACATTCGTTTAACGTTTCCCCTCTGTCATGGTTTCTATTCTGTTGCTTAATCTACTCTTTTTCAACGGTTGCCTGCGGACGCGCGGCATTACCGCCTTTAATACAAGCTCGTGTGATACCGCATCTTCCTCAGGTGATCAATTCTTCATATGTAATTGCTATGGTATGGTACAGTTAATTAAGCGTAATATGTACATTGCCGTCGGTGCCGAGAACCCCCATCATAGCATCGATTCGTACGCCGTCTTGAAATACTCTTCCTCCCTCACATCACAGACCAGCATGTGGCCCGGGCTGTGTGCCATAACAATGCCCTTGACCTTGTCCCCCGCGCTCATGATAGCATTCTGCGGGGTGACGCCACACCCCCAGAAGACGGGTATCTCGCCCTCGCGGAGCTCGACGGGATCCCCAAAGTCCGGATCTGACAGGTCCCTGATACCCAGCTCCTGCAGCGCCTCCCACCCCCACGCAATCGGCTCTCCGTGCATCTCCGAGTACCGACGGGTGATATTCCGCACCGTCCCCACGTCCTGGGGTCTATACGGCCGCATCGAAACCACGTACGTGGCGTCCGTGAACACCCCCGCGGGGTTCAGCCGCCGTGTCGTCGTGTACATGCTCACGTTGCAGCGTCGCTCGACATGGCGCGGGACGAGTCCTGCGTCTGCCAGGGCGCCGTCGAAGGAGAACGAACAGCCGATTAGGAAGGCTACGTGGCTGGTTTCGTCCCAGACGTCGGCGAGGGAGAGCTCGCCGGCGTGGATCAGTTTCCCTGCCGAGTAGATGTTGTAGCGCGGGATGTCGGTGCGGAGGTCGAAGGGCGTGGTGAGCAGCGGCGAGGAGAGGAACGTCGCTGTGCCAGTTGCGAGAAGCGGGCATGGAACCGGGTTGCGCAGACATAGGGAGCGGAAATCGGCGGCGTGAGCTTGTGGCAGGACCAGTAGGTTCGCTTGGATGTAGCCTCCTGCGAGGCCCGCTGTTGGTGCTGTGTATCTGTTCTGTCGGCAGAGGAGTCGGACGGCGTGGGCCGGATTTGCCGGTGCCTCTATGGTGTCTCTCTCAAGAATCGGTGCTGTCATGGTGATTTCGGTCGATTATTCGGAGTTTAAGTGAATTCAGGTGGGAGGTCGAAGGTATTATTCGTTTTGTGGTAGAATGTCTTCTGGATGGATTGACTCCAACCGAGGGATTAATGTGGCCTTTTTAAAAGATTTTGGTCTTCTAGTAATTTGGCCGGGAAGGCTGACGTCTCATGTTATTGTGTGGTAAGTGGAATGTTCCTCCAGCCTGACGTGACGACAAAAGTGACAGGGAGTTGGGCCTCCGGCGACTCCTTCCTAGCCGTCGATCATTTGACGGGTGAGCACATGCTTGTATGGCGATGGCGTTTTCGCGCACCAGTAGGACTCGCGTATCGATGCATTTTGAAGTGAGACTTGCATTTCAATGCGCAATAAGATGCATCGCTGGCCGGAGCTAGGACTTCGGACTTCAGCCTACGACTGGTGGCTTATCACTTGTGGTGGTAGTGAAGATATGCACTTTTTAGCGGGAAGGAGTTCGTTCTCCGGATCTCGAGGTGCAGCTGCCAGCCATCGGATTGTCTGCAGGCAACCTCCAGATGGTATTAATAGTGCATATTCGTTTGTAGATAGAGGACAGGAAGTCTGGAACGCCTCGATGGATCGAAACAAGCAAATAAGTCGTAGAACCGAGTGATATGAGGTGTCACGCAGCCTTTCCGAGCTTCCAGCCGTCGGAATGCCGGTTGTGCCGACTGTGCCGAGGCTAGGCGTTTTATCGTTGTGAAATATGACGCAGCTTGAATGTTGAATTTGGGCCGAGGAGGGATTTTGGCGGGCTGGAGGCTACGGTTGGGATATCCGGAAGTGGAGGAGTCAAGCCTGGCTTGGGCAGATGCTGGTGAAGTAGAGTCTAGACTCGGATCCTAGAGCGGTTCTGGAGCAGGAGGGTAAGTGTGAATAAGGAGAGGATGGGAATGCTGGTGAATGAGGTGGGTGCTGGTATGTATCAGTATCGGTTTCGCAAATCCGATGCCGACTCAGGGATAGGGAGTTGGAAAGCTCGGGTAGTGTGTGCCACCACCACTGCACTGACAGCTCCTCATATAAGTGGTTTACTGTCTGCCGATTTGCCTTTGCTTGTAGTTATTGTTTTTGGTTTCTCCATTGATAGCCTATAATCTATCTGGCACTCTAGGTAGTCCGGTTTTACTGTCTGCGACTGGTATGTACAAGCCGGAGTGGTTACAGCGACTCAGAAACCCCGACTGCCGACAAATGTGATTCGACTAAGAGGAACATAGGAAAGAAAGAAGCCCGCCAATCAAACCTGCCGCTCCGTATTCCATCGACTCACACACCACCATGAGCGCGAGGAGTTCATATCTGTTGCTCTCTCTTCCACTTTCTCGGTTCATCACAAGTTCCTTCTCTCACTCGTGAATATTGCATTGTTCCGTGCATGTACATTCTTCTGTCACTCGTGCGGCGTTTCTTCGTCAATTTTAGCACCACATAGGTAGGTACCTGATGCAACAAGCTTTTATTGGTGATGGTGGTCTCTCAGCTCCTCACTGAGCATGGAATCCTCATCATCTTGAAAACCCTGACCCCGCTCGAGAACATCAAGGTTCCACGGCAATCTCCCTTCCCAGCCCGCCGACGAGCCATCTGTAACGCGGATTAGCATACATCCACTCGAACGAAGGGCACTTCCACGATCCCATGTACTTACACAATGCAAAATAAGCATACTCGACAAGAACCGGCAACCAGATGAGTGCCGCCAATATCTGTCCATACCCCATCTCATTCTCCTCATAGTAGTCCCCGGCCGCCATCTGAAACTCGCCCCGGGCACAGAATATCACTATGGCCGAGGACCACGAAACCAGCAGGCCGAAGGACGCGACGGCCCACAGACCGGGCGTCATGCCGGGCGCTCTCCGAAGGTGGTCAAGATGCTCGCTCACGGTGAATGGCTTCTGTGCGAAAAGTCCCGTGCGCTTCAGGTACGTCCACCCGACGAGCACCCAGTTTGAAATCTGCGGGATGCCAATCTCCACAGACACATTCCGCCCCCTCCTGCGGGCGAAGAAGGTGGCCACCGAAGCCAGTACTCCGATGCCCTCGAATATGATAACCACGCTCGCCGGGATGACGATCTGCGGTCTGAAAAAGAACGTATCGACGGCTCTACATATGGCAAAAGTGTATGGCCGCTCGATAGATCTTTGGTAGAACTCGACCAGACACATGATCGACGTCATCAGCGCGGTGAGCGTCACAAGCCCGCAACGGAGCTTCCGTCGCCGCAGAGTCTTGTACGTGAAGCCTAGCACCACGTACAGGCTGCCCATCGTCAACAATGAGACGTGGTGCAGCATGTTCCGCTCGTATATGGTGAGATCCCGGCTGAGATAGCCGAACGTGGCAATGGTGACCGAGAGCGCAAAGAAAGTGGCTGCGTCGAGGAAGGTGTCCATTATCTTGATTGTCGCGGAAGCGTGTGCCCGCCATATGGCCCCAATCTTGGAGTTTGGGGATTGTGGGAAAGGAAGAAAGGAGGCAAAACATAGAGTTACAAAGATGAGCTCAAACACGTACGCGATGACCATCTGCAAACCGTTACTCAGTTCGTTAGCCGAATGCGGGGGAGTTTTTTCGGAACAGGGGGGTTGCCTACACCAACACCGCTAATGTCGGGGTTTCCGCTCGCGCCGATGAGAACCGAGCAAACGTATGGCTCGCACGCTTTGGCAGCATCGTACAGGATGTTCGGACCACCACTTGTGTTGTTGAGGGCCTCAATGCTGCTACCGATTCTCGGCGGCTCAAGGCAGACCTCGGCGCTGCTATTGAACGTCTCGAGAGGAAGAAGATTCCACCAGATCTCTATGGGATCGGGCAGGAGGGTCTGCTTCAGACCGATATCGGCAATCCAGGTGCAGTTCTGCGAAAGATCCGTTTGGAGCCTTTCGCGATCGGTGTCGGGAATCTTGGAGGTGTTCATGCATCTGTATGTGTATGTTCTATTCGCCTGGAAGGAATTGTTTCCGTGCGGGTAATAATAATGTTTAAAACCGACTTCTTGGGTCCGAGACATGATTGAAGTTGCTGGAAGGGGACGAGACATTGAGCGTGTACTCGAGTAGTGGTTGTGTATAGATATATCAGGAACTGGCAAGGACTCAACATCCCATCCCATCAGGAGTAATAGGCGCCAAGCCGCCAATCGTGACTGTCACCGACTTCTCGCATAGCCAGGACAAGCATTTTTGTCAGCAAGGACACGGTTATTTATACCAGCTGTATCGGCGGAAGCTCGTGGGGTGGGCCACTCTAGCGGTATTATCTACCGCCTACATGGGCGTCAGGGCATTTGGTGCCGCCCCTGTGACAGGGTTTTAGCCAAGTATCGGCTTGAAGTTTGAACTGCCTGCTTAATTATAATTGTCCGCAGTTGTGAATCGAACTGCCCGTCGCAGATCCTATCGTGATTCGTAACTGGCTGCGGTGCCGGAAACAACCCTCGAAACCGGTGTTGTCCAGGACTCCAGGAAGACGTCGGGTTGCATGGAGTTTATCTCCAGGGATATCGACAGGATACAGTTTCTCCGGGGCGTGCTTCAACCCAGACAAGCAGCAGAGGCGAACCGACCTTACTAACTGCAGCCTGGGTAAAAACGATCTACAAAGGCAGTGCAAACAACATGGGATTCTGCCTGCCAAGGCTCAAACGGAATATGGGGTGATTGTCGACGGATTTCATCATCGAACGAACTACTATGTATGTACGGTATTTAGATATCTACCTGTAGACTACTCTCAACCAGGCCTGGGGGTCCGTCCTTAGCTGTGCCCGGGACGGGACCGCATTTGGCGGGCCCGAAAAACGAAGGACTGTATGTAGAGCTCCGGAGTCCGGGCAAGCCTGTCGAGGAGAGGATTTTGACCGTTATGTGGCGATGCCGTTTTGTGGCAGTGGTGGCGCAGCGGGATGATTGGTCGCACGCACTAGTTATCCTTAGCTAGCGGTATGCAGTGTGCCTGTGTCGCCTCACTTCAACCTCATCTCTCCATTTAAACTAGCACACTGACTTTTCGGCTCCACCCGCGCGAAGCATACCGTACCTTTCTCCACTGGCCTCCTATTGCTGCTACATATATAGTCGACCAAGGTCCAGGGTACATACCGGTAGCCGTAGGGGCTTGTTTTGCGGCCGCCGGCGATAGTTAAGGCCGTGCTTGAAGGGATGACGGAGCGAACTTCGAAGTGCAACCGGCTGTGCGACGTGACGGTATAGTAGTAGCCGATTCCACCGTGGTCACAGTAGCAACTCCGGGAAGCACGTATCCTAGGGCTTACCGAAATTGTGTGGAAAGTTTGGGTTTTGTGCTGGACTCTGATCGGAAAAGAGACAAAACTCTAGTCTGTTCCGTCCGTCGTCGTGGCAACAGAATTGCGCATCCTGAACCTGTGTCGTCTGGAGTCTAGAATGTAAGGAACGCAGTCACACCGAGACTCCTGTCTCTCTCTCCGAGTTCAATTAGACCATGCAACGACCGATATATATACATTCCGCGCCCGCGGCAAACATGAATTAAAAACAAATCCGTTAGAAAATGCATGCAGACTCGAAAACGTCCGTCGTCACCAGACGGCCTCCCCAGCCTTAACTCCCCGTCCAGCCTTCTTCTTGAGCTCCTCGACCACCAACCGTTCCCTTCGTCTCTGCTGCAGTGCAGCCGAGAAGTCCTCGCCGAAGCACCGACACTCAGCCTCAGTCTGGAACTCAATTTCGAACCACTTGAAGTCCTCGAATGTATCCTGTCTCTCGATGCCAAGTCCCTCTTTGTCCAGCCTAAACCCGCCGATAAGATCCCGTTTCGGGTCACCGAGTACACATGCTTTCACCGAGCTGGGATTGTTGAATGTGCGGTGCGAGCTGGGTCTGATGCGGAGTGTGCGGGTAGTGTTGACCGGGGTGGCGTGCACCAGGTCGTCAGTGACAAAAATGCTGATGATGATTCCGTCGAGATAGATGACGAGTCGTGTGGCCTTGACTCGCATTACTTCTGTTGGTGCGGTGGAGCGCATGGTCGGTGCTCGGCCGTTCATCACGAGTGAGCTGCGGTGAGTAGATGTGCCGCCGCTGAGTTCGGTGGCGGAAGGTTTCCACAGTTGGATTCGCGCTCGGTGGGTGGTGTGCTCACCGGAGAGAAACCCACGCGTGTAGCGTACGGACCGGATGTTTTGGACGTCGGCCTCGATTGTTTCGCCCATGAAGGCCTGTTGGAAGTTGAACATATCTGGGCTCTCTTTAGCGTCGCAAACGATGGCCGAGAAAGACGGAGGGATGTACCAATTAGATTGAGGAACTTGTAATATAAAGATGTAGCGAGCGATGTTCCTGGATTGCTGCTGACCGACGACTTACGACTTGATTTGATGTTCTTGTCCCGGGGTAGGTTAGGGGCAGGAGAGTACGCTCCCTGTCCCGCCGCTCGAAGGTAGATGACGGGTAGGTTTTCATGATAGCCATATTCGGGTACTAATTCTGTCGCCGATATTGAAACTGTGACGGGTGAGCGTGAGAAGATCAAGCGAAGGGATGATATTAACCAAACCATTTCTTTGATCGGCATTTCCCCCCAGCAATGTCAGAAGACGATATTTGCCTGTGGACTGGTTCTCAAATAGACGAAAACTGCAGTCCTCCCATTCGGCTGAGGATCCAAAAGTTTGCGATGCCATCAACCTCCTTCAGCGTTGGTTAGTTTATGGGATGGCGGTTGCTACAGGGCCAAAGGGAAATAAGCATACATGGGGCCGAAAACCTGAGGCATAATCTCCCTCTCTCCCGGTTTAGAACCATATTCTACAGCGACGTCGGCATTCCATTCCTCGCTAATAGTGGATTCGACCAGGGACGGTGTTCGCACATCATAGGCCGTATCCTGGCGCATTGCTCCGGCATTCGGTGATGTAGGCTGAACGATGAGATTTGGCGCTAGGTTTGACGATGGCGGAGCGGCCCCCGATGAACCTCGGGAGGAAGAAGAGCTCTGATCGGATATGGTTTGCACTTCGTCTGACTGCGATAGCTGCTCGAATCGCGGTGATGGGATGCCATTTGTCGCTGCCACTGGATTTTCGGGGCTGCGTTCGGGTGTCCATGGCTCTATCTTTACAGGAATATCGAAGCAATCTTCTAGCCCTAATGTTGGAGAGTCGCAATATAGCTCGTCGATGATGGCACTGGGTGTGGGGCTAGGTGCTCTGTCTTGACTATCCGACACACCCGGCGACAGCAGTGCTGCCGTCCTATGGCTTGACAACATGCCCTCGGTCGAGACGGCAGAGCAAGGAGGAGTCGGCAATCCTCCGATCGCGTGATCACCCGGGTGTGTGACCATCCCCAAGACGTCGTGATCTTTATGAATATTCACGCGAAGGCCGTTCGGCTGTCTCTTCTTGCGTCTCGGGTTACGCTGCGGAATCCTCGGAGGCGGAAACAGCGGTGGAGGACAGATTGGCCCCTGGTTTTCTGCTGCGGCAATGGGTGTATAAGGAGGTGGAGGTGGTGGGGTCAGTGATGGGAGTATCACCGTCGGTGTACCCAGCCCTTGCTTCGTATTTGGGTGGCTACGTGCAGCATTCGCCGCGACTATCCGTTGAAGATCGGGAACAGTAGTAGGTGAGAAACCATCAAATATCTCTTGCTCTAGCCCCTTTTGTTTCCTCCCTGAGACCTTTGGTGCTGTGTATTGGTCCGTAAGGTGTTTCGGGAAGATTCGGAAATCGCCATGCCGTAGCACTGTTTCCCTATCCAAAGAACATCCGACCTTCAGTGCAGCGTTGAGTGTGAATAGTAGCTCCTAAAAAAATGGTGTGAGCTTCCCAACGAGTGGCATGCCCGAGTGGAAACAAGAACCTACGGTAGACACTAGCGCCACGGCAGCCCTTGTCTCGTTGAATCTTGGGGATATGGACGGTGTACTTTGCATTCTTTGCAAGAGCCAGGCTGCCTTGAGAAGATTGAGGTAGCCTATTGGGCAAAGCTGTTTTGCTTCCATCACATAGTTGAGTCTCGAGATGGCCTTGAAAGCCCAAAACATGATTATGCGTATGATGGTGTCGGCTGGAAAGTCCTCGAAGAGGTGAGTTTCTCCATAGGCGCAGTTACTCTCGAGTTTCCGAGCTATTACGTCTCGTTCAAACCCTTGGAGTTGCTCGGACAATACCCTCGGGAGGTGTTCGGCGACAGCCACTGCCTGAATTGAGGCCATCATCTTTTCCGAGTCGCTTCTGTGTCCCAAAGGGTCAGCGTTATGCGCAGAGCGATTGTTCGCATGCCGAGTGGGAGGGCGACCAAACCCCATCAACGTCCGCATCACCATTTCAAAAGCCCAGCAATGATATCCGATTCTCTTCTGCAAGGCTCGCAGCCGCTCGTCACTGCCGTGGAACTGCGTCTTTATGGCAAAGTAGATCCATCTTTCGGTAGCGTGACGGTCGACATGCAGCGAGATGAGTGTTCTCTCGACGTCCACAAGACTGCCATCCACACCATCCAGCGCTATCCCAAGCCCCTCCGTCGCGGAATGTGCGTTGTCAATCCGGATCGTCTTGGAATTGGCGTTCTCGATCTCGCCGACCAGATGTTCGAGTGCTCGAGCGAGACGATGGAGCTCTCGACCCAATGAGAGGTAGCTCGCCGGCGCTTGAGAGACTCCTTGGAAGAAGGCAGCGTGGAGGGAGGCTGCACGGCGCTGCGTGTGGATGTAGACCGCCGGGTCAAAGTCCTTTTCAGTGGTCGATGTCGACGTCGACATCTTTCTAGGATGAGTCCGAGGTATCTAGGATATTTTAGGAGATGTGCGTTGAGCAAAGGAAACCGCCTAGATTGTGGAGGATCGGATCAACAAGTATGTATGAAGAAATAAGTAAGAGTAAGGGGAGCTAAGTGTCGGATGCCCGATGGATCTCGGAAGGCAAGTTAAGGGAACACAGCAGCGTGCTGTCAGTCGAGTGAGTCGTGCTCAGCTAATGTACGTACTCTGGAAGTGCAGTAATCGATTATCAAGCTGCTGCTATGATTACCTACTGCAGGTATTTCGAGCGATCGGGTCCCAGGCCTGAGGCCTTAGGCAGGTCGGCGGCTCAGTGTCGCAGCCGGTGTAGCCGCGCCGAATATCCATGCGGACCCAGCCCTCAGTCCTCATCTGTTTATTAGAGCATGGACGTCCAGAGAGGGCCATCGCCATGTTGGGATACATAACCACAGCCCTGGAGCCTGGAGGAGGCCGGCGACCCCTCACGGAGGTTAAGTTTGCCTGAACGCACTGACCAGCATGAAGGCAGGACTGATGACCTCCCGGCTACGTTTAGTAGTGGGAGCCGGTCAATCGCCCATGGTTCCAGATACAAAAAACCTTCAGGCATCTTCCGCGGATACAGAATTCGGACAAGTTGGTTGTTTCTGATGGCTCTGTAACACTGGCTTGGTGTCTGAACGGGGGTGAGACGGTCGGAAGATTGGAAGGATCCGGCAATTATCAACTTGCGTGGAGTCCTTAGCTAGTATTAGAATATATTCCATGTAAATCTGTGCGGGTTGCATCGGTGCAGCGGTGCTGGCGAGACCCTTGCGAGCGAAGGGTGTGCAACGGACGATTTTCTGGGGTATGGGGGCCTTCCGTTGCTAAAATCAGATGGCTCGTACACCTAAGCCATCGCACGCCTGATTGTGGTCGACATGGGAGCCTTGAATATCGGAAGATCGGTATAGTGCTTTCCAGACCAGTCAACATTTGGCTGGTGGGAACTGGAAGGCAGAGACACATAGCGAGATTCGCAGCCAGTTGCAAAGCTATTATTTAGATGTACTAAGGCAGTCATCAGGAATTAAAGGACTGGACTGTCTTTCGCTGCTGATTCCGACTAGTAATGTACGTCAAGATCCCAGACCTGGCTTGTTTGATGTGCGGTAAGTATGCAATCTCTGATAGAGTGCTCACAGGCTACGCTACCAGAGAGAGAAGCTGCTTGTATGTTGTAGGCGGGTCGTCTCCATCATGAAACCTGCTACCTAGTAGTTAGCCGTATTATCACCGAGTGGGACCGTCAAGCCTCCAGGATTCTGACGACACGGAAGAAACTTTCGCCGCAGGTGCAATTCCAACCTCAAGTCATCACAAGTGACAATTCTGGCTCTCAGACTTCTCCAGATGATCATCGGAGCGGAAACCTAAGCAGCAACTATGCGATCAGCTTTCGGCCCGGTGGGGTTCAAAAAGGGGTAAACCCAAGGTGTTATAATGGTTGAACATCAAACGATCAGTTCTGCAGCTATGTCGGAACGGCGACTCGGCAATACCACATCGTACGGGTGCGCCATTTCCGTCACCGCCGTTTGCCGTCCCACTCGCAGTTAGCTGACTCGTCCAATCGAAGCGATGCATCACAATATCGGTGTGGCGGAGCGAGAGGAGGAAGTGAAGGAGGAACTGTTAGTGAGAGGAGAAGGTAATGGAAGAGCTGTCGGCGAGAGATGGAAGTGAAGGAGAACTCCTGTCGGCGGGAGAAACCGAATGTGGTTAGTAGTGGGCATCAGCGTTGGTGGGAATCAACTTTGACGGGCATAGCGGGGTCTTCTTCTGCTTCATCTTCCGCTTCATCTTCCGCTTCTTTCTCCATCATCCTCTACAGGATAGACCATCAACCTCTATCTCCTCTTTCTCCTGTGTGTGCTCTCCTTTCGATCCCGCCTCCGCCCTGGAGGGGTGTTAGCAAAAGAGCCGTCTGCAAAACCGGCTCCTCTGTATCCCATAAGACCTCAGTATATCAACGTTGTTGACGATTTCTGTGGGCCTCTCACTGCCGTGGATGCATGTGCCGACAAACTCGACTATCAGACAGAGAATATTGTAACCCGGTGCACTTCCCAGCATCGAATGAGCCCCTACGTACGTACATATACTCTAGACTACAGAATCCAGTATGTACAGCCGTTTCTAACCATTTCTTCTTGAGCACCAGAAACATCGGCCATGGCTCCCGAAGTCAAATCATGTCGACGTTTTCACCTGGCGACATTTCCAACATGGTAAATTAGTCGGTCCAAACCATTCATCTTAGCGAGAGAAGTCGAGTCGTGCAATATTCGACAGCTTTTGGGCTACATATGTACCGAACGGCCATCACCGGAAGCTTCCGCCATGCATGACAAGATACGCTAAACATCCAGAATACCCCAGCATCAGCCGTAGAGGCTCCGTCTCATCATTATCGATTTGAGCGTCTCGAGGTGCTCGCCTCTGCACGCACATTTACAGAGCCAGTCCGTGCACCTTGCGGCCCTTTTCACGGTCTCGAATAACCCGGTCTGTGCAGCTTCAGGATGAATCACGAATCACGCTCATTTAATTTACTCACGCAACACGACCGCAAAGCTGACTCTTCCTAAAGCCACGATCGGTACGAAACCGCAACGGTTTTCATCCGTCCCTCCACCAAATCTAGAATATGCGGAAATTTTTATCAAAGGCCAACAAGGCGTGCACGGCATGAAGGACGTGGCTTTCGGTTGCACCGCAGAAGTGATGTTTATGTACGCCGTACTTGGCCGGCGCCATGTATCGATACCAAATTACCAATATCACGAATCAACGATATCCCCAGACAGACCGGCTGCTCCCCTATTACATACCCAAGTACGTTCCTGCAGATTGCAGGATGGGACGAGGACCTCCGTCAATGCCATGCAGGGAATGGGGACACGATACTGTCGTCCGCGTGCTTGGAGCCCGTATGTGCGCCGCCATTTTTCACGATGCCAACGCGACGTCGGGGGGAGGGACGGACTCGGCGATGCTGCCTGCCTGCGAGTTGGTAATACAAGTTCTGGGAGGTCTGAATCACACAGCGAATTGCACTGGATCGTTTGTTCCAACTCGGTGCTGCAGACGACTACGGTAGCTACCACCCCAGCTACATACTCACGCCGGCTGCTGGCGCCCCGTGAAGACTATGCCTTGGCCAGCCTAACGCACTAAATTTGCCTACTCAGGGGGCTTTTGTGGGTGGCTTTAATCTCACACCATGCCACATGGCCTTGCGGAGGTCAGATCTGTTCTCGGGCGCTAACTACCGCCGATCATACAAGCTCGTCCGCACTAGCACTAGGGAACTGCCGAGTGAGAAGGCATGATCGTCGTTCTCCTCCAGTGACGAATCCGCATCGTAGACTAAGTACCGCTGCTCAACAGAAGATTCAATAGCAGTTAATCGTCGCACCAGGTCCAGCTGATAGGTACCGACGTCCACATCCTCGCTCTGCTCCTTAGTAATAAAAAGCCGTTGCTACCCGCTCCGATCCAAGTCCACAAGTGCATTCCGATCTGCTGTCTCTTCAGGCTTCAGTAGATACCGCGGGCTACGGTACCTACATATGGCGACTACAATTCCAAGGGCTGATAGTGCATACTAGTAACTACTTGGGCATGGGGGCTCGAGAAGAATCCCGGCTAACCGCACAAAACACGCGACTTCCGTTTCCCTCCCTCCCTCCCGAACCCACAGACAAGGGGGGACGGCGATCATTTTCTCGCTTGCCCGTGTCATGGCGGAGCCGGCGTCGTACACTCGGAAGGCTGGGTTGCCGCTTACACGGAGGAGCACATAGTAGTGCACATACCGTATCAGCTTATATACGCCGACACAGCTGGGCAACGGGCATACATAGGAAGGTAGCATGGTAACCGCACGGATCAAGGATTCGCGTCGAGTCCTCACCGACGCACGGATGGATGGCTTGGATATAGGTACATACCACTGAGCGAAACTCGAATTCCCGCCCGTGTCACGCAGGAATACGGGGTGCCTATGTACGTAGCTATCCAGTGCGATGTTCCTAGCCACTGAGAAGCGAGTTTAGTGCGTGCGCGACCGGCTCGCCATCGTCCACCGTGCGACCTGGACCGGTGGTGCGTAAGTTGCCCCCCTCCCCCACCCCGCCCGTGCGAATACGGGAGAGGAGAGGCCTTCGAATCTCGAGTCTCGACCGTTGGGGCGGCATGAGCATGAAGACACAGCATATGTAGAGTGGAGTGGAGTAGCTAACAATGTAGCTAGCATATCCGAATGCCTGCCGCAAACGGTTATAGGTGCGATGCGATGTGATGGAGGCTGACTGCTCTACATAGCTTACGCGAGGACATCTGGCATGAATGAGCAGTGGATCAATTGTGGTTGGCAGGCGGGCGGGTGGGGGCCGAGTGACGACGCCTTTGCATCATGACACCTGCGCTGCACGGAGCTGAAGACTACGGTACCTGCTTACTCCAGTTACATACAGCCTCCAGATCAGATGCTAGATAACTAACGTCTCCAACCAGTCCGTCGCCAGCAGTGGGACCAACCCCTAACTACGGTACTACGTCGGCGAATGCGCCGAGATGGCTTGGATCACGGATGCACATTCCACATCCCACAGAAGCGCGGATGCGATGCGTACTTCCGAGGCAGTGTCAGTGCCAGTGCGCGCTGTGTGGCTGGCCGCTGGCCGACGACCAAGCCCCGGCCGTATGCACCATGTACTGCGTACTGGTATACGGTATACCCACGCTGGCGATGGCCCGATGGGAGAGGCTGTGTGGAATGCCTAGGTATGTATCAGTACATGCATGAATGGAACATAAAGCACCGTGAGACATAACTATGCTAACAGGAAAAGCAGGAATATAGTAGGGCTGCGATGGCCCTGATTGAAGGCGTATGTACATACCGGCCCATTGCCGGAACAGTGGCATATTCCCGCACGGAGCATGCACGCATGGGCGTCTCTGTTGATATTCATACCGGTATGTATGTTTGAACACACGATGGGAAGGCACGTGGAACTGTCGGCCAGGGCGGGCGCCAATACATACCGGTAGTTGGAACTTGGTCTCGGCCGTCCAGTATTGTACCAGGAACAGCTGATAAGTCGTGCCTCACCACCATTACGAATTATAAGCGCCAGGTTAGGCACCACTTACTCATACACCCGAGTGCAAGTAAGTCGTGACCACCTCCATTTCGTCGTAAGTGCTAACAAACAAGAGCTCACACGATATCACTCATATAACCACATTGGGACCAGTTGCCTATTACTCATGGAGGTGGTAACGACTCAAGGCTCCCTCCTTGTACTCTACATAACTACAGGCTACCGATACTGCACTGGAAAAGCTCGACTTGTATCATTGTATCATACCTATGGTACCTACTCGTACACAGATACCGGTGGGCGCGTCTCCTTCCCCCGTCTCAGGCTCTCAGCTCGAACTATCAGGAGGGGGCACCAACAAACAAATCACGAACGAGCAAGTCGCTACCTATCGCCATTCATTCATACCGCCATGCGGAGTGGAGCAGAGACCGTCCGCGAGACCGTCCGCGAAACCTGCCGCAAGCAGGCTCGGAGCCTCCCCCGAAAGCGGCTGCCCGCCGAACACCACGGTTGCACCGAGTGACACAACTTCGCATATTGCCCCCCTCCCCTGGAATAATCAAACCTTGAAACCTCTTGTCACTGGTTAATATCGAGCAGTATCTGCGGGCGTATGTACATATGTGTCTATGCAGCGTACGGGTATCGTCGTTATCGCGGGTATGTACTAGGTAGTAGGTACTCTACTATCCTGTTGCTCGGCCGTTAGCAATCATCGTGCTTGCGGAAGGTGCTTCAGACCTGGGGCAGTGGCGCTTGCGATACGATATCTATGGCGTTTCAACTTTCGAGCACACTTGTTCAACCTGCGCCTAGAAAAACGGGAGTAGAGTGGCCCGTGAAAGGCCTGTATGAGGTGTCACGGATGTTGAGTGGCAGGGCTGGGCTTGTACCATACACACTACAAACTCTAATCTTCCCGCTCAGAAACAGACAGTCTCACAGACGTGGAGGAGGAGGAGGGGGAGGAGAAGAAAGAGGGGAAAGAGGTGTGCGGCCAGCGAACCGCGACTCGGGACACTGGCCCCCTCCCCCCCACCCCCGCTCTGTGCACGCGCGATGGCTGGCGCCGGGGGGATCATTTGGGCTGGAATTGTAGAGATGGATGGATGTATGTATGGATGGATGGATGGATTGATCGACGGCTCCCTCCCTACATAACTGCCTCCCACTCCCGCCCTTTTGGAAGCTTTCATCGTGCCCCATCGATCGGCTCGGGTTTGGTTTGGTTTGGTCTCGGCAGCACTCAATCTCGACTCTCGAGCGGCTTCCGGTTTGGTCTCGGCAACACACTCAATCTTGAGCGAATTTCGTCCAGAAACAAAGAAAGAAGAAGAAGAAAGAAAAAGAAAAAGACATAAGAACAGGCAGGCTCATTCAAAGACGGTTCCATACAACTGCGACCATGGGTATCGAGGAAAAATACACGCACGACGCTGGTAGCTCGGATCCCGAGCGCGCTCCGGACTCCGTCAAGTACGATGAGACCACCATGTACACTGGCAACCTGAACCCGGATGAATACGGGACGCTGAAGCGGGAGTCCGTTTCCCTGATGCCGCCATCGTGGTCGTGAGGAAATCAATTTCGCCCGTGTGCTGACCAGTGCGTGCGTACATCAAAAAAGGTTGAAGAGTCGGCATGTACAGTTCATCGCCATCGGTGGAATGATCGGTGTGTACATACCCACTTCTTACTCACATATATCCCACGGGATGATGCCCCTCTCAGCGAGGTGAGGTGAGCTCATCGAGTGTTGCAGGTACCGGCTTGTTCCTCGGCACCGGCGTTGCCTTGCAGAGGGCCGGCCCCTTATCGATATTCTTGGCATTCACGATTGTTGGTATGTTTTTGCGCTTCCGGAGCCTTATTTACTAGGCAGCCAGACAGGAAGCGCTGCCCGGGTACTAACTCCAGCGGTCCAGGAACGGTGGTCTTCGCCATGGTGCAGAGCTTGGGCGAAATCGTAACTTGGCTGCCCATCAGCGGTGGATTGACAGTATACGCTTATCGTTACGCCGACCCGGCCCTCGGATTTGCTATGGGATGGAACTACGCCTTGAGTGCGGGCGTGGTGTTGTGTGCTGAAATATCAGCAGCTTCGGTAAGTACGAGTGCGCGGCTCATGAATCATGATTGCACTCATGATGATGGCCATCGAGAGTCGAGACTGATGGCTTGCAGGTTATTATAGGATACTGGGACGATACCATACACGTCGGTGTCTGGATAGCAATCATATTGATCGTCATAATAGCTCTGAACAGTTTCGTCGTCGGTGGATACGGAGAAGCAGAGTTCATATTTGCCAGTACGTACTTCTTCTTCTCCCGCTAGAGAAAGCAGCCAATCGAACTGGCTGACCGTGTGCTCTTCCCCCAGGCTTCAAGATCATAACAATCATCGGACTGCTCATTCTAGCGCTGATCCTTAATTTGGGCGGAGGACCGTTAGTCGAACCCAACAGAGATCCCACCTCCGGCGTGTATACTGATATTCTATATTTACCAGTGACAAGGACCGCAAAGGCTTCCGATACTGGAATAGTCCAGGAGCAATGAAGCCCTATCTGGCCACCGGAGACAGTGGAAGATTCTGTGGCTTCCTGAAGAGTTTCGTCAATGCTGTCTTCTCATTCTTGGGAGCAGAAGTTATCGCAGTGGCTGCCTGGTCCGAGCTCACCTCCGTTGCAGGCTACTACATACTATCTTGCTAACGTTCTCCGATCATGTACCGATAGTGAAACGAAGTATTATCCTCCTGGATTCAGTTACTCTTGGTTTTTTGACTTACCGGCGGCAACAGGCATCCCCGAAGGAACATTCCGAAGGCTGTTCGACGTGAGTGACTGTTGACGACTGTTGCGAATCGCCCCCAAGAATGCTAACCGACTTGCACTGCTACAGGAACATTCTGGCGGTAAGAATCACTGCAGCAAAGCACCGTGCGGCGTATCTGGCTGACGGGCAGATAGCATACTCTTCTTTTACGTCTTTGGAGTTCTAGCCATCGGTGTGCTCGTTCCGTACAACGACCCCAGTCTCGCGAAGGCCCTCGAGGATGGAGAAAAAGGCGCCGCTGGATCACCATGGGTCATTGCGATCAAGAATGCGGGCATCCAAGGCCTTCCGCACATCATCAATGCGGTTATCCTGAGCTCCGCGTGAGTGAACATCCCCCTTTTTCGATGGGGAGTTGGCAGACTAACACGAAGGTTTCAAGTTGGTCTTGCGGAAACTCCTTTGCATATGCAGGAAGCCGAAATCTTTATGCGTTGGGTATAAAACTTATGCTATAACCACGATCCGATGGAATGGGGAATCATGCTGATGTGCATCGCAGCAATCTCCGGAAGTGCACCCAAGATCTTCGCCAAATGTACCAAGCGCGGTATTCCACTCTACGCGGTGATGGCAGTCTGCGCATTCGGCCTGCTCTCTTTCTTAAACGTCGGCCGAAGCAGTGCGGAGGTCTTCAACTGGTTCGTCAACATCGTAAGTGATCGGCCTCCCGTCCCTACACGACGTCAACCTGATCTTCCTCCCAGACCACGGTCAGCGGCCTCTTCAACTGGCTCACCCTTGGTATCTCATACATCCGCTTCAGCAAGGGTCTTGCAGCCCAAGGTATCTCCCGCGACCAGTTACCGTTCAAAGGGTACTTCCAACCATATGCCGCGTATTACACCGTCGGAATGAGTGCATTTTTCATCCTGATAACTGGCTTCGATGTATTCTTTCCTGAAAAACGCACGGCGAGGGAATTCTTTGGGGCGTATTCTGGAGTCTTGATGTTCGCGATTCCATAGTAAGTGCCTGCCTACGCTTCGCCGGATAGGCGGTGTTGACTGACGAGGTGAACAGTATCTTCCACAAGCTGTATTACAACCTCCCGGCAATTCTGTATGAAGAAATGGATTTCTTCACCGGAAAGGCCGAGGTCGATAGGGACGAGATCGAGAATATACCACCGGAGCCGAGGAACGTCTGGGAAAGTATGAGATCGAACGTTCTCCCCGTGTATAATAAAGTACGGTGTGCTAACCGCCATTCTCAGAAATCTGGTCCGCGATCGCATAAGTGCGAGAAGGGGAAAGTCGTAGGAAATTCAGGTAATATGTAGGACGGGAAAGATGTGATAATTACATAAAATCGAAGGGTTGTTTCCGTGATCACTCAACCGCTGGTCCGTATCCGCATGTAAAAGCACTTGGTCGTCTTGTAGGACTTAAATGTGAAATTCCCATTGAAAACCGGACTCGGCGAAGTGAGCAAGCCAAAAGTCGTCAATAGCTGTTATGAGTGACCACAGTGGCTTCGTGGAGCGGAGCGGCGATCTCAGCCTCGGGCAACCAGCTCACCCGCGGACCACGTGACATCACCGGCCGCAACCCGCTCGAGCCCGCGACGTGCTTTATATTTTATACATGCCTAGACGCCCAGACTCGCCACACCACGCACCGGTCTATGCCACCTTGAATTCTGGCGCCGTTATCGCCAGAAATTTTACCTCTCCGCTCTCTCTAGTACATGACTTGTATCACTCGGTGAATGTCATCGTTCGCTCACAGGTTTCCGTGAGCTCTAGCCATTGATCTTTGCCAAAGAAATTCCACTGAGGCGCCACTCTCTTAAAACAAGTAAAGAAATCCACTAAATACTATGCAGTTGAATGAAACATCTATCCAGCTCACCCCCAAATCCGTAAATACCCAAAGCAAAAACTTCCATCCACCTCACCAGGAAGGTCCGCACCAAAAACAAAAACAAAAAACAAAAACTTAGATGATAGATCCACCTCACCCGCAAAACCCAATGCTAAACCTAAACTTCCATCCAACCTCATCGGCGCTGCCTATTCTCGGAATCCCGGTGCTTCCGCCCGCCGTGGTGCCGCTGCATCTCAACATCCTGCAAGCCCGCCTCGCCACCTGTGTAACCCTTCCGATCCTCCGACAGGATAACATTAGACGGGTGCACGAGGTTGAACAGGAACACCGCGGCGGCCATCAAGACAGCGTCGAAGATGTACAGCCAGACCTCGTTGCGCATGAGGTAGCCCTTATTGCCCTGGATATACTCGACGACCCTGAAGATGCTCCTGACCATGATGAGGGCGGAGGCGCCATAGAGCACTCTCAGCAGGGTCAACCACCCGTTCTTCCCGCCGGTCTGCAGCGAGCTGGCGAGCACCGTCGGCTCGCGCACGATCTGCGTGTGGAACCGGATTGCGACCACCACGAACCCGCCAAAAAACAGCAGCTGCACGAATAGCCCGCCGAGAATCAGCTTCTGCCCCAGGTCCGCGGACTCCTCTGTCGCTTTGGCCATCATCCCGCCACCCCCGCCTTGCATCATGAACGAGAGCACGTCGCCAAGAACGAAGAATTTCGTCAGCCAGTTGAGCCGGATCATCGAGTGGTGCGCCGCATCGAGGTAGGCTATCAGGCGCCCTAGAACCATGTAGATCGAGGCTGCGAAGAGGGCCGGTGCTACGAGGAGGAGCAGCGATTGCATGATGTACGGCCCGAGATTCTCTTTGTCACTGTGCGACATTATCCGCCCAACGTATCCGATTGCCTCCACTGCGGTGGTGTTAGCCCTTTCACACATATACTCCATCGTGATGTTGAGGAGGGACCGGCGTACTCAAGGCGCCGATAAACATCGGTATGAAGTACCATGTCCGTGACCGGATAAGTTGGAATCCATGGGCAATTGTGGTAAGGGCGAAGATGACAGCGAATATCGCTGCAGCAACGATTGATGGTGTGTAGTAATAGAAGACGTATTTTTGTGGGACGACTTCGGTGGACATCGTGCCTTCGTCGGGTTGGGGTCGGAGCTGGAGCTGGAGACGGATGTATGGACGTATGGACGGGGGTGCGGCCGGGGGTGAAGGAATGGGAGCAGCGAGCAGCTGTGGTTCGGTGGAGTATTGCTTATCGGATTCGAGGTGTCTGGTCTGCCAAATAATTGCGGGTGTACAGCGGCCTTAAGTACGGACAGTGATCACCGTGAATGGTTTTGGGCGTCATATAACCAAGCACTTCGTATTCGCTGAACTGCGTGCCCGGTTCTTTCTCCTCCCTTTCGTTTGTGCGAAGCACCCTCTCCGCACTAGTTGGTTCAGAATACCCGTCTAGAACCTTGCGTGTTCGTTCGGAGCCCACCGCGCAGACAGGCCCGAGGAACCGTAGGTAGCTGTCGGTACGAATACGATGGGCCGCCACTAAACTGCGGAAAATCTGACGTGACGCTAGATAGACAATCCCCCGGCCGGCCCAAACGTCGCCACGCCGTACCGCTTGCGCGGATAACTAGGGGCGACAACGTAAGCTGTTCCGCAATTGGCTGCGACGGAAGCTGCCGGGCTCGTCTTCGTTCATGCGGAGTACTACGCTAGCTACTATCTAGTGCGAGGCATCCATTCGGACCCGAGATTCTCACTAAGTAGAGTACCCTGCTGGTAGGGCCAACGCTTGTTCGGACCACCGCCGGAACAAATTAAAGCGCCCTGGCTTCGAGTACGAAAACGAAAACGATACGGTACCAAACGTAGCCTAAACGTCGCCAAAATAAAGCTTGGGCTAATAGATGTGCTTATGGAGAGCGAGGGCGCAGTTACTATATGGCATGTACCAGGTACTCCATCTACTTACACAGTCCTACAAAAGGGGCATGATGGCATGGCATGGAATACGTCAGGGTTTGTGGCTTAGATATGTACTCCACATAGGTAAACGGAAGGCGAACATCCCGAATCACAGGTAGGCGTGTACCTAGCCATGTTCTAGAAGTCCTTCCATTGCGTGTAATAAGGTTCCTTAAAGTTAAGCTAGAGTTCGAGCTCGGTTGGTAAACGAATACATTGAACTGCGGTGATTCGTTTAACTTCAACTCACCAAAAGGCGGGTTGAAGGTTGAAACCAGGCTGAAAACCAGCAGAATTACCGCCCTCGGAAGGATCACACGGTACTCACCATCCAACCTCAGGCCAGACTGTTTCGTGAGGTTTTTTGGTATTTCTTGGAACGTCCCAGAAAGGTCACTCCGAGGTGCTGGCGGCGATCTCCAGAAAATCTTCTCCAACACACCTCAACTCGCCTAATTTAACCTCGAGGAGTCAAGGAGTCGAGGAGGCGAGGACCCTAAATAAATTGCGAACAGCAGAGAGTTGGCCGATCGAGTATGTCCTAGGTAGTATGTAACGTCAATGCGGATACGAGCTAGCTAGGTGGACCAGATATTTAGAGTATGATGGATATCATTCTACAGAGCGTACGTACCCTCGTCGTCGCAGCAAAGCTGAGCATCCGCAGCCTTGGCCATTCGATACGTCGAGGCGCTGTGCAGCGGTCCAACTTCTCCCCGAGCCTGGCTCAGCTGTTGGTAGACAGTAGATTGACACCGAACCGATTGTAGACTGGACTGGTCACTTTTGTGGTGGGTCGTTGGTAGGAGCGGTTCCCCTGAGCTGAAGATGATACCACTGCTAGGTAACGGATTGATCTACGAACGCGAAACACAGACGATACGGTGGGCTCCTCTGGCGACGTTTGCGAAGCGCTGAGCGAGTCTAATCGGATCCGTCTCGATTCTCGAACGCGGATACATGTCTGCCCGTTTGTCTGGCGCTTCAGGATCGGCGACGAGCCTAATTCACAATAATCCCCCGCCACACGATGCATTTATGCTCAAAGTCGGTCCATGCCTCGATAAACCCGGCGAAAACAACTTCTGCCCACGGGCCACGGCGGTTTCTGCACGGGTGCGTGTCATAGGAACTCACTCGGAGAACGCCTGTAAACGCACGTCAGAACGAGCAAGTTGATTCCGTGATCGTAGCCCATTCGCCAGTATACTGTGGTACCTCAAATGGACGGCCAGCCGACAGGAAACTGGAAGACCAGTGCTAGTGGGTGGGGCTGCGGGATAACGCTGTCCCGAGGATACCTTTTCGAGCAATACAGGGTGGGGTGTCGAGAACCAAGCAGAAGCAGAAGACGTTGTGACTGGATGCTAAACAGAAAAGAATGTTCACCAACAGGATAGCCAGCTCGGATGGGAGGGAGGCGGGGAAGTGGATTGCTGCCACGAAATACACAGTAGTTATCCAGACGGCGGACAGGATACTCGGAGCGCGCGTGTCTTGTTCTGGATGGGCCTGATACACCATGATGAACCAATCCAGACCGCAACACAAACGGTGAAATCATCCAAGTATCGTACGCATTTGACATTCTCTCTGCACCCACTGAAGGATCTAACAGGATCCAACGGGCTGGCCTGCACCCTAAGTCCAAGTCCAAGTCCAATTCCAAGTCCACGGAGCTGAAGACTCCCACCACCACCAAATCATCAAACCAGCAAATCAAGACCCACCCACTGCAGCAGTTTCCAATCACATTTGGGAAAGATTCCACTAGTAAACGCTCGGTCGAACCCCCCGAAATGATAAAACTCGTGGCCTCGCAAAGGGGGTGCTCCTTTGAGGACTAAAAGGGAGGATGGCTTCAGCCTTCGGCGGTAAACGACAGGGCTTCGGATACGGACGGAAACTAGGAGGTAGGTAGTTATTCCCCAAGGGCTAAGGTAGACCTGGTATGTATGGGCTATCGCCGGCGCTGTCCCCTGGATCTTTTCAGCTGTGCCTCCGCGCTCGTTGAGTAGCCGTCGGGCACTTTCGCCGCAACGGCTAATGCCGCCGCCCGGGCCCCAAGCAATGGTCGAACCGGCAGATAAACCGGTTCTCCCTACTGCTCGATTCGTCCGGTGCATGGTGTGGAGGAGGGATGAGCAGCTGTCGGCGAGAGGAAACGGATGTAGTTAGTGTAGATGGTCAAGGCAGCCAGCGGGGAGGGAGCGAACTTGAGTGGCCTCTCTCGCTCTCTCTCTGTCTCTCATCATCATCTACAGAATAGACCATCAACCTCTACCTCCTCTTTCTCCCTGTGGGTTCTCCTTTTCTCGACCGCTTTCCAGCCTGGGGAGGCATTGGCGAAAGAGCCCTCGCAAAAGTGGAACCAGCACAGAGCTACCTAGTCCATTCATCAGATACGGGCTCGAATTCGGATGGCTATGCCCCCACGATCGGTCCAGTTCAGTTTCGACTGAAAAATGAAGTTACTGAACCAGTATGCACCAAATTTAAGCAGTTGCGGCGATCTCGTCGGGCGTCTAGTCTGGTCTTCCGCCTCGACTGCGTTCAAGCTCCATTCTGTAGGTGATGGTTGTCGTCTTACATGCCCGATGCCGCTGAACCAACGCTCGAACGCAGGAACAGCCACAGTGCCAAGTGTACACGATCCTCGGACCTCAAGGAAGAAGCCTGCCCCCTCTACCCCTTCTACTCCTAAGATTCAAGATCGACCCTTCCGTAGTTTCAACTTCAGAGACGACGCGGCGGCCCGTCTTGCGCGGTGAGCCCTGGGGTGGCCTTATGGTATTCATGTAAGCCACGGAAAACACCCTCAACTTCGCAACTTCACCACAGCGTCTCGGCCTCGCAACCGGCCAAAACGGTGACCGAGTTCTACCGTATTGAAACCCCCTCTCCGACTCCGAGCTCTTGACTCTTCGCGCGCGATATATCCTCCACAACCTCCCGGCACAGGCACGACTTAGCCGTCCTCCCCGCACCTCCCCGCTGCGGCGATGTGACGGCAACAAAACCGTCGGCCCTAGCTACCAGTGGTCTATGCCCGCCGCACGCCGCCGCACTCGGAAGGTTCTCTAAAGGAAGCTTCAACGTCATCGTTACGTTGCGTTCATTTTGAGGTAAAGTTACAGAGTTATAGTTTTCACAAAGTTACCGTTTCACAAAGTCCAGAAGTTTCGATCCGACGCTGAGATTTAACTCGAGAAAACGTATGCCTAACCGTCTGGGCATATTTATGAAAGGCTATAACTCTCTCCAACTCCTTCCACTGTCCCCACCAACTGCTCTCACTGCTTCCACCCGCTGCTCCTCGCACCTGTACCCGCACCGACTCGCACCCGCACCCGCAGCCGCACCCACTCACACTCGCACCCGCGCACCGTCACAATCCGTCCACGCCGCCCCGCATCCACGCCGCAACTCCGCAATGAAGACGCCCACCCTCCTCTCGCTCCTCTCCCCACGGCGATGCGTGGCCGCTGCCAAGGCGCGCAGACGGAGCTCGAAGCCATGCAAACCATGCAACTCGTGCGTATCGTGCGTTTCGTGCGTTTCGTGCCCACCGTGCCCACCGTGCCCAGATTGCAAGCCGTGCAACCCATGCAACCCGTGCCAACCGAGCAAACCGAGAAACCCGTGCAAGAGCTGCGACCGCCCGTGCAACGTGCGCGACAGCGGCTACACAGTGATCCCCGAGGAGTATGTGGGCCAGGCAGGCGATGTCCCCGCTAGCTGGTGCAAGTGCTGCTTTGAGTGCGTGCTCATGCAGTCGATTGAGCTGGAACTGAGGATGGAGGATTTAAAGCTGGAGAGGGAGGGGCGAGAGGGGCGAGAGGGGCGAGAGGATGTCCAGACGGTTAAGAGGAGGATTACTGAGGCGGGGTGGGTGGAGGTGGAGGTGTAGGTTGGGATTGGGGTTGTAGGGGGGAAAGGCGATGGAGGTGGAGTGATTTGGCGCGTGGGATGAAGTGTCTATAGATGGTGATGGCTCTGCGATTTTTGCAATGAGTGTTGGAAGTTTGGTGTTCTTGTGATGATCAAGTATTGGTCGAGATGGGAAGATGTTTGATGACAGACCATTGACGAGTCAATTCATATGTACAAATAAACAAAAGCAAACAAAGTCGAAAGCAATTAGTCTGAAGAAAAGACTAAACACACCCCAAACAAGAACATCAAATCGACCGCTCTCCTTGACAATGTCCCATACCACACTGCAACTCCCCACGAGCGCAGAAACGATGAATTGACCTAGTCATGCCACATCTCCCATTACTCACAGCGCCATACAAAGTTCCGGGACACACGAGGCCCCTTTCGTATCCACCGTAGAGCACACGAGGCCCTCCCATGGCTGAGCAACACGAGGCTCTCCCTGAGCACACGAGGCTCCCCACCAGAAGCAACACGAGGCTTCTACCATCCCAGGGCACACGAGGCCCCTGGAGCGCACGAGGCTCCGCACATCCCAGAGCTCACGAGGCTCTCCCTACTCGAGTCCACGAGACTCTCCCCGGGCAACACGAGGCCCGAAACCCTAAAGGGCAACACGGGGCCCTTCTTTCCTGAAGATCACGAGTCTCCGGAGCTCACGGGGCTCCCCACAACTTTGGCCGCTCGGGCTCACGGGGCCCGACGCGGCGTGAGCAGCACGGGGCTCGGATGGAGCAGCACGGGGCTCCGGTGGAGTTCACGAGACTCCATGGTGGCAACACGAGGCCGAGGTACAACCCGAAAGCAAGCTGTAGAGAGCACATCAGCATGAGCTCGAGCGCGATATCGAGGAGGGCATACCGCAAAACTATATACATGGCTCCTTAAAAACCGAATCGGATCGACCAATAATAATTGACGACGTGACCTAGTGTCCATTAGCGTTGTTACCATCTTCCCCGCACCGAATCAACGAGTCACCTACAACTTTGCGTTCCACCACTCTTCCGTTCAACGGGATGCATCGAGTACTATCTCATTTAGTGGGCTTCCCTGGGGGGTCCACCACCTTTTCCTCCGCCGAGCACAATTATTTCGAAGGCGAATGCGACGCGGATTGGATGCGGTTTCTGAAGCCGCGCCGCCAACAGTCAGTTCTGTTCCACAGTCATAGACCGTTTCACCATTCGCATCTGAGACTCACCGATGAAAAAGGATGAATGCGCCAACACAAATGAGAAAAGAGAGGGATATCGACAAATGCGGAGTCCAGCTCTGAAGGGTATCAGCTATTTCGCGAGTATCACAAGTACTCGGACGTCCTAAAGATGGTATCGAAGCGACGGGGATCCATGCGTGGTATCGGTACGGTACGGTAAAGGCCTAGCAATGAAAGGGTATAGGTATGGTACAGTCGAAATTATGAGGGTGATTACGGTGGACTCCGGAAGATAGGCCAGGTATTATTGCGGTAGAGGATCGCGAAAGTATAGCACGTCGAAGGAGTGGAATGGCAGACGATCGGAAAGCTACGAAAGGGACATCGATCGAGTGCGCGGCGGTACGAATTAAACCTTAACTGGAAACCATTAGCCAACGAAAGAGGTCAGGAACACGACACGAACATACCTTTTTGCACGACTCGGTCGGCCCATGGCATCAGGTGCTCGGACGGGCATCAGTCGGTAATGATTTACGGGGAAGGCATTGGCGATACGGGGGGAGTGGGTTTAGCCGGGATGGCGATACCGATCAATCAGGGCGCGGCATTGGCAATTTACGTCTGGCAACGTTAGCGATACTGCGAAAACAGCCGATGGGATGTCCGAGATTAAGCCTTACCAGGGTCACATTGTGCGAACGTAAGCCGGTCAGGGGTGTGGGGAGCTCGCTCGTCCGGGTTCGCTGCCGAACTTGCCGCCGCATACGAACAGCATCTTTACAGCGTCCTTGGTTCATCGGGCTTCGGAGGGCTCCTACATGTATCCCTAGAACATCGATTAGTCATAAAGCAATGCATGGAAAGGAATCAGCATACAAACTCGGTTGAGTGTCGTTGTACAGATCCGGAATGCACACATCGAATGTCGAAAGGCGGATTCACACATGGACGAAAGCAAAACACACATGCTGCGGCAGTCATTAGTACCCCGTGAGGATACATACCAACGCTGCATCCGTGGTCAAGCATGGCGGCCCTCCTTGTCGATCCGACATTCTTTCCGACATCGAACCTATACAGTCAGTAGGCGGAGACCTACCGGGCATAGCCTCAATGGATGACCGGTGCGTTGGGTGGCAATGTCAGAGTCCAGTAGAACAGCCTTCGATTCGGCGTTGTCCATCCGGGATGGTACTGTGCTTCCAAAGTCAACGTAGAGAGGGTTTCATACGTTTCTCGCTCTTCCGTTCGGTGTTGAGTGTTGAACTGATCCCGAGCAGACAGCACGAAGATGTTAGTATATGATCCCGCGCCCAACACTGCACAGCTATCGCATCGCACCCCACTCCAGGGAACACATACGGATTTGGCCGGCGAAGACGAACACCTTTCCATGGGTGATAGGATTTGATGTGGTTCTCATTCGTAATCCTAAGAGCTCGAGCGTGTTTATCTAATACGTCTCAGCAACCGCTAACGTCGTGGACCTCCTGGCACTCCGCATGAGTGTGTCAACATACGCAAGTCCTTTAATTCCAATGCATGTCGCAATGCAGCTGACGATCGCGTGAACAGGTGAATCGAATGACGTCGATCCGGCAAGGGGGCGTATGGCTATCAAAGCCATCGCGAGAAACGAAGCGGGACATGACGAGACGACAAAGGAGAATGAGAAGAAGAGGAAGAGGAATGCCTGCGAACGTGATAGGAAGGTGAAGGGAAAGTAAACGAGTGATGGAGAGTCTGTCGGGATGGTGGTTCACAACCCGCAGTTTTATACTGCTGGAAGCCCACCGCTTTCCACTTGCTACGAAACAATTATCACATCGCCCACCACCACCAGCAGCAGCACATGGTGCAGCGCATCATTCCCACGGAGGCGTCAGTCCTGGTGATGATGATGCCGATACCACACCACACGTGAGCCAAGAGCCAACCGCGGCACTGTGGTGGTGGTGTGAGGAGTGCGGTGCGACGTAATTCGTGCACATCCCACAGCTTCGCCAAAAGATGCCGCACGAGCTGGCCAATTGCAGCCGGCGCAAAACAGGGTTCTCCACTCGGATGCATCACGTAACGGGAAGTGGGTGTCGAGCGGAAACACGCTGATGAGCAAATGTCGTTGCTGCGATCGAGATTGCAACCTCAGGGGGTTTCTATTTTATTTTATTTTTGCCGAATTTCGGTGCCGTCACGCGATGACCACCCCACCTCGATTCTCGGCACAACCACCATCCTCGCAGCGGCGGCCGCTCAATGCGATGCCTTTCCGTCTCGCTGCCGACGGTGGCCGTTCCACTCAATGCGTCTCCTTCAACCCACAACCGCTATTGGTACAGTCAAGGTACGCATATAGTACCTTCGACAGCTAGGTACGTATAACCGGTACCAGAGCTGCGATGAGCTATAGCTCCACAGCTCCCAATCGACCCAAGACAAGCTTCGTGCTGCAGCCAAGACATACCAGCTTTTACCGCATCCGGTGCTCGCGGCCCCGGATTCTGCAACTGCGAACGATCGGCAGATGGGATCACCTCTCCTTGGTGGCACCAGTTGTGCAAAGTCGGAACAGGTTTTGTGCGGCGACCAAGGCGCTACCCCGCATTTTGTCACACGACCCGTGCAGCGGAAGTGTGGGTCGCTAGTGGCCAACTGCCTGGATGGGCACGGACTGCATTCCGCCGCCCGACTCCGTCCACCGTCCAGTCACCCCACCATCACCACCACCATCAGCCCAATTTCCAAAATGCACCACTCGGCGCATTGGCACACCACCCCATCATGAGTTGCGCCTTGGCCGTTGGGGGCGCACCACATCCCCCGGAGAAGGATATCGCACTCACCATAGACTCGACGTTGCCGAATTCCCTTTTATACCAAACAGCATCCACCCACTGTTGTCATTCCCCTTCTCTCCCATCACTCTTGATCTCTGACAGAGGAAGTACGTACTGCCTTCAAAACCCATTCATCAGACCACTCGCGCATCTATATTTCCCCGTTCCGAAATCAATTCCTACACCCACCCACCCACAATCCCAGAATGCCTTCTAAGAAGAACGCAAAGGCGGCCACCGCCGTAGAGACACCAGCTCCCGCCACCACCGAAGCTAAGGATGCCACCACATCCGACATGCCCGAGGGCCCCGCAGACGGGAAGAAGCATCGCCGCGGAAGCTCCGTCTCGGAGAGTGTAGCCTTCAAGGCCGAGGAATTGGGTACGCACATCAATTCGACCGAGTCGATTGAATTGCCGTCATCACGGACCTGCCGCTGACGATCGTCTTCCTATGTAGCTGCCAATAAGACGCAAATAACAATACACAAGGACGTTCCAAGACTCAATTGGTTAGTCGAGCTTCACTTCACCAATGCGCTTCCAGATCAGCGTGTGCTGATACATAGCTTGGATTGTAGGAAGATGAACACCTCTCTCACAACAATCGACGAGTTCAACCTCGACGTGCCACTCACCAACCCACCTCTGAAGGCTGTCTACATCTGGTTCCCCAGCGGGATTAAGATTACTGCCCGGAACCTGAAGCATGGCGTCACGATAAAGGACGCCTTGAAAGCCATCTACAAGCTCTACCATAAGAAGGTAAGAGAATGCATTACCCCTGCCCGATGAGCTTCCGGCTGATTGGACTTGAAGGCCGACGACGAGCTGGACTTGCCGGTGCTGGACACCATCGAGTGGACGCAGTTCTTCGCCGAAGACAGAGAGAACTGGGGGGCCGTCTTGGTGAAGCAGAAGAAGGAGCAGGCCCCTGTCACCAAGAAGAAGGCCAAGAACTGAGCATGCTCAGGTCCCATTTGTGATGACCAATGTTGTCACTGAGACATTGTTGATGCTTGCATCACGTTTCTCTACTTTACCACGTGTGATCGATGGTCACTTTGGTTTTTGGGAGTTTTGGCTTTTGGTGTTTTTTCTCTTTCATATCTCTACTCTGCTCTGTTGGAATAATCCTTGGAATATATTCCTCCAATATACATCGGCTGCGGTTCTCGAGCATTCGTTTCCCTCATGCACTCCAAAATCTCATAGTGTGTCTTGCCGTAGAGACTCCTCCGCGTCGATATCCTCCGTGAGTTGCCTCGAGATGCGGACCAGCTCCCCCTCCAGCTCCACCAACTTGTCGGCATCCAACACTGGTATAGCCGGCGTATTCTCCATCCACAGCTCGCGCTCGGGACCTCCCCAAAACACCACATCCTTCTCCAGCGGCACCTCGATCTCCCACGGCTCATGCACCTTCCTGAACTTGACATCCGCTAGCTCCTTGATCTCCCTCCGCAGCCTCATGCGCGACTCCGACGCCTTCAACGCCGCCAGCGTCGTCTCCAGCGCCATCAATATCTCCTCCCTTAAGCGCTTCCCCTCGTCGCCCTCCCAGTCAAGTGCGTAGTACTCATCCGCGGCCTCATCGTGATACCTCCACCCGTCCTCACCCCGATGCACGCGTTTGCACCGCCCATCGAGCCTATCCTCCAGCGCGCGGCGACACCCGGCAATCTCTTGTGCATCGCCGAGCCCAGCCACGACCAGGCACGCGCACAGCGAATGCATCAGCTCCCTCCACGCGTCCATCGTGAACGCGGTGCAGTCCTTACACGGCGCCCAGTTGCAGCGCTCGATGTTGTTCGCCAGCAGGCGGGCCGCGAACGCCGAAGACTCGGGTTCGTTCTTGGTGGCGAGCAGCGGGGAGAGCTGCAGGCGGCGGCGCCGGAGGTTTTTGGAAACCATGTGCTCCATCCCCTTGTCGGCGGGAGTCGTGGGGTCCGCGCAGAAGCGCGCGAGGTAGGTTAGGTATTGCGAGGTGCGGCCGGACGCGGACATGGCGAGCTGCAGACGGGCGAGGTACTTGTTTACGAAGCCTGAGGTGGTGAAGCCAGAGGGGGCGATGCGGAGGAGGGAGAAGTCGTTGATCAGGACGCGCTCGATGCGAACGTGGTCGTCGAGGCGAGTGAGGGAGTCGAGGAGCCCATCAAGGCACTCTCGGACGAGGTCGTAGGTGCGGGATTTTCCGGCTTCGAGGTAGAGCTGGATCGCACGTTGGAAACAGTGCGCAGCGGGTCCAGGCTCTGAATGGTCGTTCAATAGGGTGACGCCAAATTCGGCATGGAAGGCGGCAGAAAGAAGCGAGTAGTTTTTGGAGACGAAGGAAGTGGGTTTGCGGAGGACATAGATGTAGTGCCACCAAAGCTCTTTGGAGAGGTGCTCGTGATCAGTGTTCGGGAATATT